TGTTCCTGCGGCTCAGATGAATGTCTCTGAATCGGCTATTTGTTCATTTTCGGCAGTGACCAAATGAAACGTGAGCAGGGGAGGGCGGTGGAACAACTCTCTGGGCCCCATCAGGGCTAACCGAAATGGCTGCCTTATCTATATTGCCATCCGCCTCGCTGTTTTCATACATCACTTCAGGCTATTCATCACACCTGTCAAAAACAGTATGCAGTGAATCAGCTGCGATATTAAATCACAATTTTTCCTGAAGGCGGGGACGGGTTCAAAATTAAAAGATTGCTAATAAAAAGGAGGCGGTGGGCCGGGGTAAATGATGCCGCCGTTATCACCGGCTGTATACTGACCTCCAAACGGTGGCCCAGCCACCCCGAGCAGCTCGGGGAGGTGACGGGGGGGGGGGGGGATATTGATGCAGCTCCCGCGTGCAAGGCCCACTCCGTAATTGTGATTAATAACAGTGAGGCTCGCTATCTGAGCGCAGACAGGCCGGTTTGTCTGCCCACAATCAGTGCTTGACAAATGGAGCTAGTTTCACTGGGTTTTGTGTATCAAACAAAACAGATGTAGTCGAGGATGGTGAGGTGGGAGGGCACCAGAGGAAATATACTTTTTATTATTTTTTTTGTCTCCCTGTATTTACAGCAGGTCAGTGTTGTGCTGCGTGGGCGGAGGTAAGGGAATCTGGGCGTGTAGAGCGCTGCAGGACATAATACTCAGCCAACACCGCCACGTGTTGACTGCTGTCCATCACGAAAACGCTGCGAATTTTAAGTTTCGGGTTTCTCACTTAAAAAAAGATCTGTGTGATCGTTCGCTGGTTCTGAACGTTAGGAGAAAATGTCCTCTTTAACTAGGTCACCAGTGTTGCAGCGGTGAAGAGTTGTTGAACATCCATCACCAGGAGAGTCATCCATCTATCAGCCAATACTCTGGCTCGGCCGTATCACAGCAAGGCAGGGCCGCTGCCTTCCCCCCGTCTTCATGTCCTGACCCCCATTTGTCAGAGAAGCTCGGGGGAGAGCGAGAGCGTGTCGAGGGGTTGCGGCTCAGCATGTCCACTGCAGTCTCCTCTGTACGAGGGCCACCCCAGGGTGCCCAGCATCTTCACCTCACCTTGTGGCGCTGCAAAAGCTCCAATACCGCTAACTCCGCCTAACACACAGGTCGCTGCACTCAGGAGGTAGAAAAATTACCTGATTCAGTGAAGTTCCCACCTCGCCTTTCGCCCCGCACTTCCCGGGCTTTTTCACACGAGAGAGATATGACACTTTAAAAAAAAAAAAAGAAATCTGTCATTTCTGAAATAACTACCTGCTCTTCTTTGCATGTCTCAGCTGCACAGACCTAGCCCGGTGAGATTGATTGCAATAGCAAGCAAAAAAGAGAGAATATGACAAGATAGATGTGTAAATTATCATAGTGATGGAGGCAATGATGCAGTCCCAGCACCTTCTGTTTTCTCTCTTTTTCCTGAGAGGAGGGAGGGACGGAGGAGGAAGGACTGAAGAGGAGGAGGTTGGGGAGAGCAGGGTACTTTCTTAGTTATTGGGTAGCAGCTGATTGGTCCCTGTGTCACCATCTGGAGGTTTGTGTGGTATCAGGGTCCCTGGTGACCCCGCTGTCTGCCCTGTTTTGTCAGGAGACGGGCCTCACTAGCCTCATGTCTGATCCCCATCTGGGTTTCCTGGCTGGACTCTCATAACAGGCGGCTTCCTCCCTCAACACTGGTCCGCAACTAGTGATGCAAAGAGAGGCGTGCAGAGAGGGAAGGGAAGGCGTGTGAACACTCCTATCATGCACCTTTGTTTTTTCAGGCCTCTCTATCTAATCTCAAGTGGTTTCACTGCTGATTTCAAGTGTTTACTCAGTGAGCAGCACCTGTTTCAAGCTGCTCTGTTCTCAAATTTATCTTTTTTTTTTGTTTTGGAATAGAGATATTGTGTGTTTCTTTTAAGTTGACGCAACCTCCAAAAGTTAACATTTACCCAGCTCTGATCGGAAATATTTAAAGTGCGCCTTTGTGTAGCAAACGTAATGTCCTTTAATTCTCTTTTGATAATGACTAGCTTTTTATCCTCTTTAAGAGACGTTTAAATGCAGCAGGGGTGTTAATGCTAGTGAAGACGGTGCGTACTGTGTAACAGCATTGCCACCAGTTCAATTCAGGCTGGCGATTAACTAGTAACAGTTATTTTCATTATCAATTAATCTATTCTTTTTTTGGTTCAGTCTGAAAAATAACAAATAAATTCCTGGAGCCCAAACTAAAAAACAATGATATTCTACACGGATGTAAAACAGCAAATCCTCAAATTTGAGAAACTGGAACCAGGGAATCTTTTATATATTTTTTTGCTGTTAAACAAAACGTTCAAACTTACTTTGATCAAAACGTTCCCATTTTTGTCTGTCTCAACCATCAAATAAAAGCAAAAACCGTCTCTCTTACTTTCATGAACCATGCATCCCTCAGCATCTACAGATGCTCTGTTAAAGCTGAAAATCAATCTTCATCGTACAGATTGTGGCTGAGTTTACACTTTACAATTCAACAGCTTTATCGGCTTGTATAAAACCAAAGTTCCTATTTTATTTGAAGTTCTCTAACAATAGTTTGGCTCCCCGGTGAGGTTGTTCCAGTCCTCCTCAGTCACCAGACCTCTCGCTGGCTTCAGACTCTCCGCTGAGAACCTGTCGGGCACAGGCGCCGTGGAGTATGTCGGACTAGACAGCTGGTGAAGCAATGGGCACCCTCACTAGGCTTGGTGCCACAGCCTCCCTCGCTCCTCAGGTTGGGGGTTTGTAGGAGGAGGTGCAGGAGGGGATGGTTGAAGAGCGGCTGAAAGCCAAAGTCCTGCTGACAGAGGACCATTGTGTGGTGCTCCGCGGTTGGCTTTGGCACCCTGTTGATGATCAGGCCAGTGTTAGAGGGCACAGAGCTGCGTTCAGGACAAGAGAGCACAACATCCCTCGTAGGTCAGCTGGATGAACGCGCTCGTGTGCACAATGAGATGGAAACACACACACACACACACACACACACACACAGACGGACAAACGCTCCAGCGGCTCGGGAGGGAGGGAAACGGAGGGGAGTGTGGTGGCTCAAAGAACGAGGGAGCCGGGGAACGGCCCGCTACAGCCGCCAGCCGGCCCCTCCTCTGGGAACACACAGAGCCTAATGAGTTTGATAGTCTGCTGAGCTCCATAAATCATGCCATGCAAAACATTTCTCCTCTCTGAATAAAAGCATTTATCACCCTCTGTTTATTCACTCACTCTCACAAGATTGATTGGCTCCCAGCAGCCCGCTGAGCAATCAGCCGTGCCGATTCCTCTATTTCTCCCCCTCGGTCCTCTTCCTTGAGTTCATTTATTTATTTATCTATTTTCTCTCCTCTGTCATTCAGTGGGGAAACTTCGGAAGGAGTGGATGAGAGAGGCCGTGTCCAATGTCGGCATGGGGATGCTGAAGTCTGTCAAGGACTACGTTGACCCCAATAACATCTTCGGCAACAGGAACCTCCTCTAATTTCCCGCTCACCTTTTTCTAAGGAAAAAAAAAAAAAAAAAAAAAGCAACTTGTGCATTTTGGATTAATAGATACTAAATGTGAATTTAAAATGGATTTCATCAGTCATTTGTGCCATTTATTCATTCACCTAAACCTTATCTTTTACATTATATTGCACTTAATACGCTGTAACAATCATTGTCACTCACTGTGCAGCTCATTTTTCACAGCCTCAGCTTGTTGGAGCTACGGCCATGATGCAACCAGACGTGATGCAACAAAACCTTGATTTTTGTCATATTTTCTTATATATAACCATTTCCTAAATATCCTTGCCAACATGGTTAATTCGTCTGTTTGTTTGTTTGTCTTACTTTCCACTTGTGTGTGTGTGTGCGCGTTTGGGGCACTTCTCCAGTGGTAAGTTGTAGATGAATGTGCTTTATAAAGCTCTGTGCCTTTCTAAAGCTTCTGTCTGCCTTCCCTTTCTCCTACTAAACACTCTGCTGGTGTACAGTGAGTCCCTTTGTGGAGCAACATTAACTTGGACATGATGTTTTCTATGTCTTCATCTTTTTCTTGCCCTCATGCCTTTGTTTTACTGACCTATTGCCATAAGAGACTTTTTCTCGACACGCGTGCGTGCGTGTGTGTGTGTGTCTGCCTAGATTAAAGCCTCACCCCCCCCCCCCTAGAAGTACAGTATGATTACAAAGAGAGATATTCCTTCTGTGTTTAGTATTTTTGTGCTCAAAGTGTTTACCTTGCATGGTTAGTTACTGGGAAAGTGAAGTGGGGGGGGGGGAGCCATCGCGTTTTTGTATCACGGCAGCTTCAATGTCACCAAGTTTGTAGTTTCGAGGCCTCTGGATCCCGGTGCTCATGTTGTACCAAAGACTCAACACATAACATGCAAACACACCGTAAACATATGTTTGACTATGTGACCCTCGCACATATTTAGTAACTTCATGCACAGCTAAAATATATTTTTTAATCAGCATTATGCAAAGATGACCCTTCTGAGAGCTGTAAAATGTAGATATGCGTCTGTTGCACATGCTAAAACCTTCTACATAATGTGTCTTGTGTTCAAGACGCTGTATTTAATTATTTCTTTTCCATGGATTTGCTCAGAAATTCCTCCTAAAATAGTTGCCCTTGTTCTGTACGGTGTAATAGATTTTTGGAACGGATCCTGTAATGTACAATTTGATACCAGGCTTGAACCATTTGTTACTGATAACCATTGATTTTGAAGGAATCTCGCCTTTTTTTTCTCTTTCTGATCTGTGCTTCACATTTTCCTGAACCACCTTGTCCTATTTAACTCATATTCCCCCAAATAAAAGGACTCATTAGGGACCCGTCGTGTGACATTTTATCTCCGTGTCAAACAACGTGTGAGAGCTTTTGAGCGTTATGGATGTACCTTTTGTTATTTTTCACTTCTCTTAACAACGTCGTAACATCAGAGTACATTTTGTCAATGCTGTTTGTGCAATAAATTGAACTAAAACATCTCATTTGTTGAATTTTTCTTTCAGTAATATACAACACTGTTCAGAGAGCAGAACTCGTCCCCTCTCTCGTACACCATTTACAATTCAGCTCTTCAATAGTAGCTTTTATTAATGTTGTCAGACGGCGCTAAGAGGGTCAACAGGAGCCTCGGAGCAGCTTTTTGTTCTTTCTACCTGTGCCACACTGAGTTCAAAGTAATCCAGCACAAAGAAGTTTAAAACCGCCTGTCTTACGCCTCCTGACAGGAAGATTTCTTTTGTTTGCTCCACACAGGCTCAGTAGGAAATCATCTTCACCCACACAGCCACCCACGCGCTGCTTGCTGACGTCACAGCCATCAACAGCAATAGAGATCAGCCGTGGACGATGAAATGCAGTTATCACACTCTCACTCTGGCTTAATACACATGATCGTGTGAATGAATACAGCGGGTATAAATACCACATAAAGGATTAAACAATATATCTGATCAATCAATGCATTTGTTAGTTTTGGAATATTGATTACAGATTCATATATTTGCAGCTAATTCTAATTTTCTTTGGTATTATCTTTTCTAATCCTGACCGCATTATGCAACTTCTTTTCAAAGTAATGTGTGTACATCTGCAGTATTCACGGATAGCATTTCATGTGCAAAGATACATTTGTCCACATGAGGTCAGCACTGCACTGGGATAAATACTCATTGTAGACTACTGCGCAGAGTCACTGGTCCTTAATGTAAGTAAAAGTAGAAAGACTGGAATATAAAATGTCCTGCATTGGAAATGTCACTTAAGGAAAATTATGCATTTTCAGAAAGATGTACTGTTACATATAATACAATTACATTGTTTGTGTATATATATACATGAAATATTTAGCATAAGTGTTAACTGATTGACAGTCCCTGAAAAAAAATCAAGCTTTGTCCGCAGACCCTGTTAAGATTTATGGTAAGTGAATCCAAAAACAAACCTGCAATTACCGCTTATCACAATAGATGCCAGTTTCCTTTCTTTCCAGTTTCTTTGTCACCCACTGCCACGCCCCTTTAGGAGACCAGTGGCATGTCCAGAGTCTATTACCTCCAGTGGGAAAAGTGAATGTGAGCAGATTATGACCAATGACTACCGGCACTTTAGAGAACACAAATCTATAAAATCTCAAATCATTGTCTGAGCTTGTAATGCGGTATTTTGTAATTGAGTATCTTTGTTGTAACCAAGACCCCAGGAAGTCCGTCACGTGATGCCATGGGGCCCCAAAAATGCTCTTTGTGGATCCTACAGGTGACTTCTGCTTTCACTGAGGAACTTTTACCTTCAGTGAGGTGTTTGAGGACTTCCTGCTGTTTCTGACTGCAAAGCCTCATTCAACTCAAAGAGTTTGAAAATGTTGAAGAGAATAGTGGTACAAAAAGGCTGAGTGGACTGGTTATACTGGGACTAGAGAGGCTGAATGATTGATTATACTGGGAGCAGCGAAACTGAGTGGACTGGTTATAAATGGCTTTGGGATTGAAAAGAAATTCAATTTACAGTTGGTTTGGACACAAGGACTCTATGCTGTGATGTTGTTCCACTTGTGTGTACGTTGACATTTAATGCAATTTATTTTGTTGCCAAAGAGTGTTTATTTAAAAGCAGTATATATCATCATGTTACTTTTTAAAAATGTGAAGAGATAATGTTAAGCACATTTTAACTGACCTGCTTTTATGTAAGTTTTTACAGAAGATCTTTTGCTTTTTCTTGAATAACTTTTTTAGAGTAACAATACTCGTACAGTATCATTTCCTAGTACTCTTTCCATCCCTAGTAGTTGGGCAAGTCAGAGCTAATTTTAACAATTGTATATACTGTTGGATATTTGAATATAACAATTCATCATATGTTATAAGATCATCATCTGGTTGTATGTAAAATCAAACTTTCAATGAACCAACAATATTTCCCTCTGAATTGTAGAAGTTTAAAGTAGCATGAAAGGGAAATAGTATGTCAAATACTTGTCTAAATGTATTGTCATAATATACCAGAGAATGTATATTTTTATACATATGCATATTTTTATTTAAACTCTGAACAGAAACATTGCACATTTGCCTTTTCATGCCCGAGGTTTCTTTCAGTTCAGCCCGCTGATAAATAAATCCACAGTCCAAACATGGGTGAGTAAAGAAGAAATACAAGAAGCACGTTACATTGCAAAAAGGACAAAGTAGTTTGGCCACATTTGGAGACCTAATAGAAAAATAGAACAGCGATATCCATAATTCACGTTACATGATGCAATAGAATTTAAATCATGCATTTCCGATGAGATAATGTGTTTACTGACGAAGTTCAAAATACGAGGTATTTGTTGGCTCACATGTTTGCTACATCCTTAGCAAGTGGTTGAATTTAATACTGCATAAAACATGCAATTCAAAATGTTTCTGGTCGAGTTAAATTCAGCTCTTTAACTAAAATACAGTAGAGTACAGATCCATGCCACACAATGTGCACAGTCACGTTTTAAACTCCAATTAACAAAGCTACAACACATTTCATAAGGCAAACCCCCACCCAGAAAATAATACTTTTATACTATAATATGGGCACTTCAGTACTAAGTGTCAGTGTCTCAGTCTTCTTTTGGAAATCATAAAAGCAGTTTAAGTAGCATTTGTGAGATTTGAGAGAAGAAAATAAATCCTATTAAAGCAAAAGTCAGACATTTGAGGAAATACACTTATTCGCTTTCTGACGGCAAGTTAGATTGGAGGATGCCACTTTCAAATAAAGCTACTGGTTAGCTTAGCTTAGCATAAAGACAGGAAGGAGGAAGAAACGGCTAGCCTGACTCTATCCAGAGGTATCAAAATCCACCTACCAGCACCTTGAAAGTTCTCAAACTATACAGCATGTTATATCTAGAGCTGCAACAATGAATCGATTAGTTCTCAAATATTAGACTATTTTGACAACAAAAAAGACGAAACTCTCAGATTCCAGCTTCTTTAATATGAATCATTTCTAAGTTCTTTACTCCTCTGTGACAGTAAACTGAATGTCTTTTGTGGACAGAGCCAGGTAGCTTTTTCCCCCTGTTTTCTGTCTTTGTGCAAAGCTGAGCTTACCTTCGGCTGCCTGCAAACACATAATAGAATGGTAAGTGTATTTCTTCAAATATCAACTACTCTTAGTTTAGGGTGTTTTAGTTGAACGTATGCTTCAGCTGTCTGTGTTAAATCAGCAGATGCAATTTCTGCAGAAGTGAATTGATGTCAGCACAACTTCATCAAGGCACATTGTGTGTGTATTAGTGTGTGTGTGTGTGTGTGTGTGTGTGTGTGACAAGTGGGACCCTGCATTTATAAAATTGGGCAAAATAGATGTCTTTATGTATAGAATGTTAATGCTTTGTGGCTGACATGGGATCAAGACAGAGCTGCAGTCATTGGTTTTTCATAAATTATGGCAATAAAAGTCATGGTTCAACTTGGATTTCCATCTAAGAATCTCGGTGAGGAGGCCATGCATTTTTCAATAGGCTCTTAAAACAAGGCACAGGGAGGGAGGGAGCGGAGCACTCAATTTGCATTGCAAGCATTGTCACAGGTCCTGCTGTTCCTGTACTCCTTTATCCTTCAGAAACTCTACAGCCACATTACAAGCCAGAGCTTACAGGTTCTTAAACAGCACTTGTAAACAACTTAATAGTCTATGTATATATTTACAAAAAATATCTTTGTTACCCCGGACAAAATGCGAGCAATGAGGAGGTACCGAGAGCAAGACGAACCACAGCAGAAACAAACATTCCTCTCATATTCTCCATGCCTTGTGCCCACAAATCTGTCCAATGCCCGGAATAATTAGTGTTAACTCGCTGGCTGACAGGTTGACACATTGGTTTGAGTTTCCTTTGCTGACGTGGTGTCATCAGCTGATTTGTAGCCGCTCCGACAAGCCCGCCAAACACAGCTCGGTCAGCCTTCAGCACAGGAAGACTGAAGGTGGCAGAAAAACCTCTATGACAGCGCTGCACTCAAGTCTAAAGCTCATCTCTAGCTGTAAAAGCGAAGACGAGCAGAGCCCAAGAACCTCTGCATGCACTGCCTCGGTTGCAGGCTGCGTTTAAGAGGAGGTAAGCCTAATAGATCAGCTTGGAGATGGCATCAGTAGCTAACTAACTGGTTTAGATGGTGCTCCGTCAGCATCGCTGCTGCTGCAGCAGGTTTTGCTGCCTGTTTTGGCCACAGTGCAGCCGATTGTGTCTGTGCTGTCTCCACTGCAGGGGCTCGAGGGTGCAGAAACACTCTGGCCACGTTGTCTCTTCTTGTTCAGTTCCTCCCAATTGGCCCTGTTAGCTTTGATCATGTCAACCATCGGCTGAAGTTTGGGATTCAACTTGACGAGAGTCTAGGGGGAGAGAGGAGGGGGAGAAAGATGAGAATGGCAAAATACACTGAATGAAATACAAAAGACAAAAAACACCATCAGTATGAGAAGCAAAGGCCGCATCTATTAAGGGCCTTAGCATTACATTCCGGTCACAGAGCCATTTGTTTTTCTTAAAAATAATTACTTGATAATATGTTTAAAAGAGTCTACAGACATGCTTGCAGCTCTGTGAAGCTGTGTGTAGGCACAGCGGTGCTTTGAGCTGAATGCTAACTTCAGCATGGCATGCTAATGTTAGCATTCAGCTCAAAGCACCGCTGTGCAATAACATGCACGTGCTGCCGGACCGGCCACATTAACAAAGCACAGAGAAGCTCGTATTACAACTCACACAGCGGGAGTGTAGCTTCATTCTCTGCTCAGGTAGACATTACTGCCCCAGCAAATAGCTGTTTGCTGCTATTTTAATGCTCTGAAAATCGCACCTTTGATGTTTTACATACGTCATGTCCAGCTTCTTGGACTAGGAAATATAGTCGCAATTTGAGAAACTAAAATCTTAATGATTGTGCAGCAAAGTAAATATTTTGTTCACCTAGATGGTTGGAAGAATCATTGAGGAACACCTTCAGAATATTCAGTTTTGTTCAAATGACCTTCTACATTGTTTTAACATCGACAAGTAATTAATTTTCAGAAAACTGGATGCTTAGCTCCTTGACTTGGAATGTAATGGTAACACATGAGAAACACAGACAGGAACTGGAAAAGCAGCGCATTATTAATCAAATGTCAACAATGCAGAGAACACGGTACAATAACAGCAACATACAGTAGCTCGATAGTTTAAGACAATGAAGCGGCTGCTCTTTAGAGATTAGAAGCACATGTATGACTGAGATAAGTCGCCTTTGGCATTCGTCTCTGTTGAACTGTAAGTGGCAATGTAGTCAAAGCTGTCATCAACCATTTTAATAAATGACCTGAGAGACGGGGGATTTTGTTCCCTCTGTTCTCCTCAAATTGTCTACTGTGTCTTTTGGATTCCCAGGGAAGTCTGTAATTAACCCTGTACTCTATGGAAATATAATGTGGGCATGGGCACCACATACCAACACATTATTCACACATAAATGAAATAAATAGAAAGTTAAGTACATCCACGCTGGGCATTGTGTATGAAAGGGAGATCAAATACATTGTTATTTTTGGAGAAAATACAACTAATCTCAGCTGCCAATTAATTGAACTTTCAATGGATATTTCAATTTATATTCAGAGGGTATATTCACTAACTCATAAGAACAATTAAAACACTCGTGTGGGCGGTCAACCAAAACAAAGATCTATAATGTGGCCAAGTTCAGACATCGAGACCATTTATTAAAAACAGCCGTCTGCCCACTCATTCATTCATTAAGAATGTCCTGAAAGATGTTTTAAAAACTGTGAGCCTCAATAATTCACAGTATTGTAATTGCTGGAATATGCGCGCTACTAATCATGAAGCTGTTCACCTGTGATGCCGAGCAACATTCGAGCACAATACAATCACCATTTCTGTGATTTGAGATGAAGTCGATGTCTGTATGGAATCAGACTCATTTTGTGTTTTCGCACATCTGTGTTTGCAGCATTGGCATGTGAGTTGAAACAATTAGCTGATGATTGAATCATCATTTAGGTTATTTTAACATTCACTTGTTCCAGCTTCTCAAACAGGATGATTTGCTGCTTTTTTCATCTTTTGTAATGATAAAAAAGGTTATATATATATATATATATATATATATATATATATATATATACATAGATTAGATTCAAATGTATTGTCATTGTCATTGCACAGAGAACAATTCTATACATTTTATAAACCAGACGATTAATAGAGAAAATGATCTGCAGATGAACTGTTAAAGAAAATAATATCACACTGTGATGGCATGTGGCCTACACAGTACACACAAAAACCGAGTGGATTGATCGTGTTTATCTTTTGCTGTTTAAAAGATCTGAATTTTTTTTTCAAAGGAGAGCAATTTCCCGCTTTCTTTAAAGTATATATCCACAGTGGAACATTGTCATTAGTTTGCACAGCATCATTATTCCACTGAGATAGAGATAGAGATAGAAGAAGAAGAAGAAGAAGAAGAAGAAGAAGAAGAAGAAGAAGAAGAAGAAGAAGACTGTCATATGGTGGGGTATAAAGATGGAAGGTTATATAATGGGGGATTAATATTCTACAAAGTAGCGAGCCACCACCAGGAGAAGGAGATCAGCGAGATCAAGAATGAGATCTCTTACGCCCACAAACAAAAACCCTGCCGGCTCTGAACTTCCTCCGTCCTCCCCCTCGCAAGTTTAATTGGCAGCAGCATGATCGTGAGCTCCATATCTGCATTCTCCAACCATCAGCCTTTACGTGAGGCAGTGTGGACAAACCCCCCACGCAGACAACACACACCGCTTTGATGCTTTCTATCTACACTACACAGACTGTAACAATGGTGAAACCAAAGCCCCTGCACAGATACGTCTACTCTAACTTTTGACACTGATCCTGGGATAATTCAATAGCCGTGAAGCTGATCTGTTGTTTGTTTTCTCCTCACGATGACTAAGAGTAATGTGTTTGATACGACAGTAAAAAAGGAGGTTTAACAATACAAAAGCAGAGAATATCATCCAGTGCTGTAAGAACGAATGAACTATTTCATCTTTGACTCCCTTCACAACTGTTAGCTTCAGCACGGCTCATCTCTTAACAGACCTGATCTCCTCAGTAAGTCCGCCTGCATCTTTCTCCCACACAGCTGCTGCTGCCGGCAGTGGGAGGAGCAGGTGAGTCTGTCTTGACGTCATTCAGAAAGACACGCACCCACATTACTATACTGGCGAGGACACAGTATAGATTTCCATTAATTCCCTGAAAGATAACCACTAGCTCTAAGTCTGACCCTAACATTTGCTCGGCCCGGATCCTACAATAAAAAAAAAGCGTCTCTATCTGTGCGTTAGCCAAAAAGGCATTCCTTCATTACTGTGCAGTAAAGCCCAAAGTACACCGTCTTCCTGAGGGGATTTAACCCGCCTAACATCACAGCTCTATTCACACACTCCACTACCTCTGAGCGGTTTTGCAGTCAGAAAGTGCACACTCATTCTGCTGTTCTCAAAAGAACAGGATGCAACCTTGAAGTTGTTTTCGGAGCAACAGAATTTCTTTTTCAGTGAGAAATCTGTAGCGGGCAAAGAAAAAGTTGAATAGTTGTTGGTGACAGCTTCATTGCTGGCGTCAGTGAGGGGGACAATAGCTGAGGAAGGACAGCGCCTACTGATGTCAGAGGCGGATGTGTGCGTGTGTGTGTGTGTGTGTGAGTGATACAAGCACGACACACAGCGAAGGCTAGAGAGCTTCAAGCTTTTTACCTCGTATAACGGTGCACAAATTCCATCAATCCACTCCAGCTGAAGTCCTGGCAATTCATCCTTCCTGTTTCGATCAAAGATGGCCTGTAAGACAAAAGTTCAAATGTATTTACACTTACATTTGTGCTGGAGAAACAAGGGAGTATTGTGGATCTGCTCACCTACAAGCCAGGCTTACAATCCTAAAGAGCTGCTGTTACTGACAAAAGTCTCCCTCTGCTCTTGAGCTTATTTCACGTACATTTTCTATTGTATCTCATTATTCTGCAGCCTGAACAGCTGTGCTTCAGAGATAGTTACTGGGCTACGACTTAGAAGTTAATATTTAATTTCCAACACCCACTCACACAGAGCGGTAAAGGTTTGACACAAGCGGCAGACCCGAGGCTACGGCATTAGTTATTTCAGAGGGGAGGCAAATCTGTCCTGGCCCAATTAGTCAACAGCTATTTATTGCACACAGAAAGCTGTTGGTTGTTCCCTTTTAAGAACTTGTAACACAGTTCAGCCTTCAAAGCTCGTCAATCAAACGCACAGGGCTTCTCTGTTGTAGTTTCGTTGCTTTGACGACAGAATACGTTATGAATTAAGATCTTCATTAGGACCAAAGTCTTTCCTTGCTATTATTATTCTGCTATTTTTACATTTATATGAGAAAAACAAATATGATTTATTATCCGGGCTAGTCGAAGCTAGTAGAGCTCCAATACACCACAATGCCTCGTGTGTTTACAGTTGGATGAATGGAAAGGTCAGTGTTTGCTTTGAATTTTGCTGTGTTACGAGGTACACAGTTTGCTCTTGGCACAGCAGCGAGGCAGTGGAGCAGTTTTGGAACTGTGGGGAAAATATATCTGCGGTGTCATCAGCTCAGTGGAGGACACGGAGGTGAAACAAACTGCAAAAAAAAAGCACAAAACCAGAGTTGGTTGTGTGGACTCACAGAGGGTGTGAGCTTCAGCTCTGATCTCTCTCTGTCGCCCTGCTCGAAGAACTCGCTGGTCACCAACTCTGCAACCTGGAGTGAGTGAAAAGGAGGAATGCAGGGATTATTTTCTTTCAATTGTTTTCTCAGTTGATCGTTTGGTCTATATAAAATGTAAGGAAATTAGTGCAAAATGCCTGTCACCATATCATAAAGCCCAAGGTGATGACGTCAAACACCCCAAAACCCAAATACATTCATTTTACAATCCTGTAAGACAAAGTAAAGAAGAAAATCCCTACAGTTTGGAAGCAGGAACTAGGGAATGTTTGGTGTTATTATTTTTTCTTTTGAGCAATTAATCAACCAGTTATTTCCACTCTAGATGAATGGTTTAGAAATACATTCATTTCATACATTTGAGAGTTTTTCTCACCTTGCGTGATATTTCCCATGGTTTAGTGACAGCACCGAGATCACACGCTGTCATCATCATGGATCTGAGAGGAATCAGACATTTATTTCACATAGTATTGATGGTATTAAAGAGCTACCATGTTTGTGTGAGCAGGGCATTACCTGCACATGTCTCTATGCGCCTTCAGATTCCAGTTGTACTCTCCTTTGCTGACCAGCTCAAAGAAGGTGTTTCTGTTCCTGAAAGGAAACACGACATCTGTATATGTAAGTGTAAGTGACATAAAATCCACAAGGGGGCAGTGTTACCTAAAAGAAACCTGTAGTAAACATTGTACAGGGACCAGTATGCTTCATTGTCAATGGGTTAGTACACTGGGGTCAGCCAGTGGACATCTCACTGTCAGGAGATTTAACAGTAGCAGAACATACTCAAAGTAAAGTGTGAGGTCTGTGGCCAGAATGGACTGTTTCAACAGCTGCATTAGGGCCCCATACTCTGTGGACGAGAGGTTGGAGAAGATATTGTGACCCTGTGGAGACACATACAGAGATAACATGATAACGAATTTCGCAAGACATTTTCACAAGGAGCCTAAAATAAAGAACTATTTTTCCCTGTCAATTTAAACTAAACAGAAAGTCCATATTACTTGTTACATGGGTTTATTTTAGAGACTTTTTTGAATTATTTAAAAACAGCTTGAACCAGACAATACTAGCTGACAGAGATAATTTACTGTCTGCCAGTGTCCTGTTTAGTGTGTGAAATGTACGTCCTTAAAGATTCCCACAATGTAGTTTGTGGCATACACTGCTCTTTGTTAACAATCACACAATGAATGCAACGTGTGTTCATTCAATACACACTGTACTATTGATAATATAGGGGGAAGTGAATGAGGGAGTGAGTCTTTAATGAAAAACGCTTTTGCTAACTAAACTATAATGGTAAAAAAAAAAGACTCAATACTAAAACTGAATGGGGAGGAGGGAAGCCAGCAGATCTCTCACTTGAGGCTCTCCGTCATTAAAACAGGCCTCTCCCCATCATGCATTATACATTCATTCACCACTTAGGCACCCTCTTCGGGAGAATAGAGAAAAACAGATGTAGAGGTGATAACAGAAAAAGAGTGTGAAGGAGGGGACCTGCAGAAAGTAGCAGACATCTTCAAAACTGGTGACCATTTTTTTTTTCCTTTTAAACGCTGCAAATCCAAGTGTAAAGCGCATGTGATTCCCTTCACGAGCATGTGTTCCCATCAAATATTGAGCTATACGTAGCAGCAGCGACACAAAGCACGTCTCTCTCATTCTGTCACAATTGGAGCGGATGAAGAAGGGAGGGGAGTAACATTGAGAATGACAGGAGGAAATTGAGAGACACAAAGGAAGTGAATGACTTTAAGAGTTTTAAATTAATGGTTTGTGCAGACTCGCGGATTGAATCGTGAGCTTTTGACTTGAATTAGCCACATTATTCATGTGTACGCTAATAGGACAGCAGTAGTTCAACCCCAGTATCAACAGAAACCATTACGATATTGCAAGCAACCATTGTGTCAGCATGTCAGCTTACTGTGTTGTCAGCACCATGATAATGAAGCCACGGGAACAAACCCTACTAAGCCTCATCTCAGCTGCTCCCTCAAAACGTCTTTAATTACAACTTCATGCAAAGGCGGTCGGTCACCTGGTAAAATTTCTCTCTCAACCAATTACCTCTAAATCCATCGCCTCTGTAATTACATTGATTTGAGGGCAGCATGAGCTATTCGGTCACTGGCTCACATACAACAGACATTGAACCAACACATGGTTGCCTTCAGGCGCAGTCGGCACACACTTTATTTAGATGGTTAGAAAGTGAAGAGAGAAACCTATAATAGCTAAGACACAGGAGTGTACTGCACCCTTTATACCCAGTCAGGTGTATTGTCATGGTTCAATGTAATTACATCACTTTATAGGTTTATTTTGAAATACGCCTTTTTGCCTTCTGTACCATGTATATAATAGCACTTTCATATCTGTCAAATATGTTAAATGTGAATCTACCGCCAGCAGCATACTGTAAGACTGGGAACAGGAGGAAAGAGCCGTTTCCAGTCTTCCAGGACTCTGCTCTGGTTTAACATGCATTGGTCTGCATTAGCAGAACCTCAATGGTGACTGCATTGGAGCAGGTATTGGAACATAGTGCACCTCGCTCTGCAGGATCATAACGGCATGGTTGAAGTGATGGTGCTCCAGTGTAGCAGAGGTCCCATAAAGCAGAGCAAGGGCTGAGCCCGTCCTGACACACACACACACACACACACACACACATACACACACACACAGGGATCAAGGAGAGAGAAAACATAATCAGCATTCAACACATAGTGAGAAACGAAGTTTGCTGTTGAGTCTGTTGTAATTGCCTCACCACTTCTCTCTGCACTCTGTCGCTAACTTATGACGCCATAATGAAAGACGCTGGAAAGCCATAACCTATAACGCTATAACCGTTCAACACTAAATATGATATCATTATTTAATGTGGAGAAAAATACTCAAAACTGGGTCTGGTGTAATGAAGGTAGCAGGGTATTAAAGTTTTGAATATTCCATTAGTTTAGTTAGTTTTCAGTTTGTCTGTGATTTCCGTAGTAAATAATGTCTGGGTTTTACAAAGTTTTAGGTTTGTTTTTACTGTTACAGTAAAGTCAGACACAATGAGGACGGTAATATGTTTTTCATTGTGTTGGCTCTGTCGTCCAGCACATGGAATTGAAATGAAACAATGACTATGAGGTACAAGTGCAGACTTTTAGATGTCACATGTTGGGATGAGCATATTTAGAAGGCAAGCAACCCCTGATACAATGAAGAAGTGGGGATAAACACAGTACAGTTCTGCCTGTAAAACCGGAAAACACCAAGTGCCTGCTAATGTCTGACGGTTATACTGTAGACTTCTATAATAACCTTTGTGAGGGCAGAAAACACTAAATCCAAGCAATTCATCGTTAAGCAGACCCTTATATAAGCCTTATACAACTTGCCACTTGACTCTTGCTGATCTGGGCTGGACTGCTGCAGGTGGTAAAACACACTATAAACAGTGTGTAGGAGGGAGCGTGTTTCTGTGTGTGCGTGTGTGTGTGTGTGTTTGTGTGGGTGTGGCAGAAACCGAGAGATAAAGCGGGAATACTTACTTTGCCTGAAAAGCGTTGTTGGTGCCCCTGTGGTCCAAGTCATGGCAGACACAACCCACAATCAGCGCTAAGGTCTCCACCTCTGTCAGAGTCTCCTGGAAGCCCGCTGTCTGATTGGCACAGAGGAAAGGAGGCCAATGAGAAGACAAACAAATACACACATGCTCACACAAATAAGAGCTGCATCTCTTATTTTATGAAACTGAATTGCTGCGTATACTGTTTGAGAGCTTCCTCAATGAGCAGAGCTTTTACCGATAACTCAAAATGTATGAATATTGGCTATAAATAGTCTATTCCTTAATGCAAATGTCTCTGATGGAAAGTGAACTCACGATCTGCAGCTATAGCAGCATGATCTTTACCGTTAGCATTGCAAACATGCACTGGCAGACGTTGAAGGCATGTCTCCAGTTGTGATAGAGAACCATTCTGTAGTTCTTTCTGACAGTCAGCAGCCATCTGCATAGTGTCTGGAGGGGAAGACAGAGAGCGGGATGAGCACATGGGTCAGCAGTTGTCACGACGACACATTAGGATTCATCAAACCAAAGGAATTTCGTTCTGGGCAGATTCAGTCAAGTATTCAAAGGGAATAGATAAAGACAATCAGTGGTCTCACCTCATAATCAATCTTGAATTTCTGCAGCATTCCTAACTCCGTAAACATTCTCAAAGCGGCCGTTATCATGGCGTCAACGTCCAGGGAGAAGTCATCAAAGGAGAGCTTACCGATGCCCAGCTCGCAAACCTGGGGAATGTTGGCAGCCTGTTTCATCATGGACAGAGAAGACGTTAAGGAAGAAAGAGAACATGAGAATATGGGTTCAGAGAGGAGAAGAGCACAGAGGGGTCAGAGGATGCTATGCCACTCTCAGATGACACATGGAAACATGTAGACATGTTAATTATGACTCCGAGGACTCATTTAGAGAGGGTTAAGTTTAATGAGGGAGCTTTACCAGAAGATTTTACTGTTGTTTACTTTCAGAGCTCATTGACAAACATGGTTATGCAGTAGCAATCAACAGGTTTTTTTTCATTATTATACAAAAAACGCATAACACGTATGTGAATCCAATTAACCATATTCATTCTGAAGCATCCATGTCTGCCACCTTCAGTGTGGTCTAATGAGCAGATATGTCTTATCTGCCTCTACTCAGCATTTATAATATAAATATTTCATGCTTTCTAACCTGCATCTCATTCCACTGAGTCAAAGCCCTTTTACAGATCTGTGTTGGAGTTGCAGTGCAGCCATGTTTCTCTTTTATCTCTCCCTCTCTCTACTCTAGCAGTTACCAGAGCACCATGTTTTCCCCACACAAATGTTTGCCCGTCAGGTCAGCAGGTATTCTCCTCTCTCTTAATTCACAGCCCCGGGTTACGAAATGTCAGCCGCAGGTTTGTTTGCCGCATGCCATTTTCACTCAGGGTGGAATCCCAGTCAAGTGTACTCGGTGAGGCTCCATATGTAGAGCAGTTATGAAAGAAAGTGGGGGAAAGGCAGGAAGCAGAGCGCATTGTGGATGAGGGGGCTGAAAGATCACACAAGCTCACTGGGAAGCGGGGTTGCTACTTTGCGGTGATGGCCACAGGGGAAAATCCGACACATGAAAGTGCAGGGAAATAGGTCATATCTATATTTCAGAAGTGTCATGCTAATTAAAAGTGTAGATAATTTCCTTTTTTACTCTTTATAAATAATTCATTGAGAATGATTGCCTATTGATTGGAGTAATCCATTTCAAATACCACAATTAGTTTATTTTCATTGGGGAATTCTCGGCCCATACTTTTACTTGTGTGTTACTGAGTAACAGGAATATTAAGTCTAGAAGACAGGCTGCCAATAATTCCTCTCTGTTGCCATATATCTTTCTGTTTCGTTTAAGTTAGTGGGAGATTGTTATTTATTTAGAAAAATATATCTTAATTAAAGGGCCCATGAGTAAAATAAAGCCAAATTTCCAAGACTTAAACTTGTCGTAAATAGCAGTTACATTTTAGCCAAGTCTATTTTACTGTTAATGCCTTGCATCATACTTTTGTTAAATGGAGGGGTTTAGCAGAATTTATTTTCTTTTTTTTAAATTTGTCGTAATTTACTCAATGAAAAGAAGATACATTTAGGAAAACATCTACAGAACAATTACATTTTATTATGGCAATTACCTGCACCACCAGAGCAAACCTGATGATCACAAATTGTAATCCACAACGATAGTTTTTGTACTCTGCAATATATAAAGGGAGGACTCGTCATCACCAGACAATGTCAGAAAGCATTCATATGAGTCCTTTTGTCATTTATTGATTTCTTTTGTCATTGTGGTCGGAGGAATTGTTGAGTATTCCAGGTAACAGGGGGGTAAGAACTCCACATCATCCCTCATCCTCTACTTTGTAGAAAATGTACGTTAGAACATGGTTCCTCCGAGCTACAGTTAGTATTTTAGCAACGTTTGTCATTTGATTAAAAGGAAAATACAGTTTATAGCAGAAACATGTACTCTTATGATCTTGGTTTACAGGTTTTGTTTAAAGGAAAGGGCTGATGTTTTTCTAAATGTTTCTCACTGTCAACAAATCCCATGAAAAGATCAGAAACAACAAATCAATGTAGTCTCACTACTTTCCAATTCACCTACTCTGTCTGTGACACTTAAGACATGCATCTTTAAAAATGATTCATAAATATTAGCTTCATTTTTATGGAAGACATTTCAGGTTTTTTTCTAAAACAGCTGGGGAACAGCAAACGTTACTAAAGCAGAAGTCAACAGAGCATTTATTGGGGACTATTTTCGGTTGTGTATGAAAGGTAACTTATGAAGTTGTCTTTGAAACAAAACAAAGTTATATTTACATTCAGTGTTTTTACAAAAATATATTGTGTGTATCACTAATTATTCTAAAAAATAATAATTCTAAATTGCTTGCCCATGTTTGCTTGCTAGCAGTCTTCTTATTCCCTGCATTTGCTGGAACGTTGCTATATTTGTTGGCACATTACTACCACCAGAACTGTTAAATATTGTGAAACACAACGGCAGGATGTGAGTCGCTGGTGCGTGTGCCTTGGTGTTTGATGATGAAATGACTGATGTCATTTGCTGCTTTGTTGTTTGATTGTGTCTGATGTATTTAGCAGTAAGGACCTGTTTTGTTTCCTCTGCAAAATCAAGCTTAATAGGTCAGCACAAGTTTAGCACATGCCACTGCTGTATTTTTGCCATATATGTGTTCAAATACTACTGGATTTCTTATTATTTGTTTTGAACAGTACCTGTCTCTTTGTAAATTAGAAACCATTTCCTACAGTGGAAGCCAAGCCTTTTTTTTTAACTTATATTTCATAAACAAGAAGCAGAAAACTGACAAATGTAATGATGATAACAGTGAATATATGTTACCTTGAATTTGTCAACTTCAGTCTTGGAGCAAGTGGCATGGTAAGACAGAACCTGCAAAATAATGACACAGTGTCACTGCCAACAATTTTTCAAATTATTAAAATGAGCAGTTGGGCTCTAAGAGAAGCTACTGCGAAAAATACTGCACGCTGTGGTGTTATGGCATTTCAGTGGATCTTCCAGATGAGGAAGTTAACATTTGCCCCTGGAACAGTTTACAAGAGCAGCGATGTCAGCCCCGATTTCATGGCCATGTTCGCTTCATTTCCTGAGAGAAATACCTCGCACAGACCTCCAGTTGCTTATTTGACCATAAATGCTCATGTTTATTCAGTGCTGCCAGAAGCAATGCATCTAAATATTAGCTCATCCTGTACCTCTCCTTTAAATGATCTACCTCTCCTGTTCTCTGCTTCTATCTTGAAACAGAGGGGTGCTAACTACTATAATGCACCTGAACGCTCCCTATTGTGATGTAAGGACGCACTGTAAAGGCTGAGTACTGCTGAATGCCTACAAAATGCAGGGCAGATGAGGGATTGCTTTTCACTGCCTCTTATTCATTTTCAATAAAACCTTTGTGAGAAGGTTATCTACAAAGAGAGATCAGCACTTTCTCCATGCGTACAGTCTTGTGGAAATATGCGACTATGAAGGAAGCCAAGCACAAAGACCCAGGAGAGAGGATAAGTAAGAGGAGGTTTTGTATTAGCCATGCAGCAGCCGTTGTTTCCAATAACTTCAGCATATGCTCTGTGTTTCAGCACAGAGCATATGTGTTGACTGGAACGGAAAATAAAGATATCATTATAGATAATGGAATACAAAAACAGATAGGACTCTCAGGGAAACATCATCTGACGGAGGGCATGAACATACAGACAAAAGGAAGATGAAGTATAAAGCAGGAGCGATGCAAAATCAACACTGTGAAGCCGCGGTACAGTTTAGATAGTCATTTTCTTTTTGCAAATGTAAGTGAATAATAAGATTTCTTGTTCAAAACATGGAAATTTAATATTTTCACTTTCTAATTATGATGTGAGGCAGGAAATCGAATGGGATGTTGTGTTCTTACATCCAAAGCTACAGACTGCTTGGCCCAGGACTTCTTCACCTGGTCGTACATGATGGTGTTGTTGATGCCCAGTCCACAAAAGATCACAAACGCCTGAGAAAAGCACAACAAAAAGCAGACATACTCAACTACAACAATTTCTAAATACACCCACTGTATGTTGAAAAGATATAGAAGCAAATGTAATACTTCAAAGAGACGCTGGTCTGCGTCATCGAACGGTTGCCCATCGAGCCTGTTCAGCACTTGGGCGACACCTGTTACACAAACCGCACAATAAGAACAGTAATCTTTTCAGCTTGATATTGGCAAGACTCCAGTGCTTATAACTGCCTCCAATTAAAAGATCAAACCCACACACCCCACGTCAGCGATTAACATTCATTATTAATGGAAATTAAGCAGAGAAACAACATCCTACCACAAAAAAAAGCACCATATGAGTATGACAAAAATGTGGCACTGGGGAAATTGGTATTCACTTAATATCATCTTTGAACAGACATCTAGTTATTGTCCACAATTGGACTGAAGCCTTTTATTTGACAGCAGTGTTCCCTCTTTAGATGACTTCCCTCATCATCTAATTAAAAGTAGAAGGCTTTGTTGATAAAGCGTACATATTTAATTGATAGAGATGTTATTATCACTGAGAAATTATGCTAAAAAGTAATTACACATACGTAACAGACACCATTCAATACATTACCATTTTCAAACCCTACCACAGTGACATTTTAATTTCAATGTATAGCTGGAGATTCATAGAGGTGAAACAGGATTAGCACTGTACCTAAGAACAATTTTCATTACACCGTCATTCAATTTAAAATACAGGGATGGTGTTTTCTCAGATCTATTGTTGCTCCCTCTGTAATGAGCATGCAATTTGTGATGAGCTACAGCATATAGTGGCCCCAAATAAAAGTTAACTAAATGACTGCTTGGAGCCCTGTGGCCACCGCATCATCTTTAACGACACCACATTCAACTGTTATTTTTTATGATCACAAAAACCATAAAATGACAATAATTTGCTGTTTTTACATAAATCACACCATGTGTTGTGTGACTGTACAATCTACAGTTTGTTCACTAGTGGTGGTGGGTGGAAGGGGCTCAGCCTAATGTTGACTCTGAAGGAATTGTACCAAACAACCAAGCTAAACCCAAAGTAACCGAGTAGCTGTTTATCATAATGGGACATGCAGTTTGTGGAACATATTTGTCAGTGTCCGTCTTTAAGGGATACTCTACTGATTTTATACATTAAGTCAAAGCTACACATGAATCGCTAAAAACAACTTTCCCGGAATGGACAAGTCCAGATCTCAATCCAATCCAGTTTTTTAAAAAACCTAACCAACTGTGAGAGGTCTCAGCATTACACGCGTAATGTCTGATCATGATCTGTAAAAATCCCAGTCAAGCCCACTGCAATCAAGTTCCTCTCACTGACCATCCATCCATCATCTATAACTGTATACTCATGGAGCCATGGAGCCGATCCCAGCTGACATTGGGCGAAGGCATTGTTCACCCTGGACAGGTCGCCTGACTATCGCAGGGCTGACATGACAGACAACCATTCATACCTATTCTGCTGCTTGCACTGTGGGAAGAAGCCGGAGAACCTGGAGAGAACCCACGCTGCCACGTGGAGAACATGCAAAACCAACATGTTTTATAATTTGAAAAATGAATCATCCAAAACGTCTTGTCTTGCCATCTGCTTTTAGTAAAGTACCCCGAATGGCCTATTGCCAAAGGAAGTGCAATGATTTTAATCACATTTGATATTTGACAGTAACCTCATTGTTGTTTTAGTCACAACAGTATTTCCGGTGGTTACCTTTTGAAGGAGCTGGATGTAACCTTGGCAGATGACACAAGGACATACATTTTCTACAGGAACGTATCCTTGGCTTGAGAATTTCATCTCCTGCTGCTTTGTTTGTATAATGTTTTCTTTTCACTCCAGATCCTCAGGTGCCACCCACACATGCTGCATTTCTTTCTCCCCTCATTCTCTTTCTGCTCTTCTTCCTCTTCCCTCTCCCCTCCCCAACAAATGCACTTACACCTACGCAAATGAAGAAAAAAAAAAAAACATGAGCGCACATGGACATCACACACACACACACACACACACACACACACACACACACACACACACACAAACACACACAAAGGTCTTAACAAACCATCTGCAGCAGATATGCTGATCACTTTGCACTCAAACATAACTGATGACTTCCTGCGTCAGATCTCAGTGGACCGAGAGGAGCGCTATCATTGCTCCTCCCTGCAATATCCAGCACCAAAACCAGACGAGAGATCAATGATTTATCAGAGTGTCAGTGTGGTGTTGGCCTGGGGCGAAACAAACACAAAGCACACAGGCAGAAGAAGGGAACTCCACCTCCAAGTGCGGAGTGATGGTGCAGCATGGATCTAATCACACACATGCAGCCTCAGCTGAACACATGCTCAAGCTCCCCTCTCCCCTATTTTCTATGCAGCAAAAAGGGGGAAAAAAGGATATTTACATAATGAGTGCATGTGAGTGCTCCATAGATACACTATATGGCCAGAATTATGTAGACACCTCTGTCTTTTGGGCTGTTTGTCATAGTTTGAGCTAATCCCATTAGTTCCTATTATGGGTAAATGTTAAAGCTATACATCATACGACATTGTGTGCTTCCATCGGTGTGGAAACAGTTTGAGAAAGGTACTTTCCTGTTTGAAGACAATGCTCCTATTCACAAAGCGTGGACAATAAAGAAAGCCCTGACCTCCAACACCTTTGGAATGAACTGCACGCCAACTGCAAGCCAGGTGTTGTTGTCTAACATCCGGTCCTGATCCGGTGGAGGCTTGTTGTTGCTACATGTTAATATCCATGGTATTTGAATTAGACAATCACATATGTTTTTAAATAGGATAACTACATGAATGCAATGGTCAGGTGTCCATATACCTTTGGCCTTATAGTGTATTACAATACTCAAACTTTGATACCTTTTCATAAACATGAGCAAAGTTTAAGAATTGATATATCCAGTAAAAATATTTAAGTACATAGATCAAAAACACTTAAGAGAAAACTTACCAATGATTTGGTGGTTGCTGTTCCATATGGGAACACAAAGCACAGAGCGGATGTGGAAGTCTGAGAACTGGTCTGCCTAAAAACAGTGGAAATAGTGTAATATGAGGATTACCATGCATCTGCATAAAACATTTCCTACTGCACTGTTTCAAAAATAATCTTTTATACAGCCCTGCTGGTTTACTTCATTTTTGATCTGCTAATTTCATATTTGAATCACAATTTTACTCATTTTAAACTGTATTTAATTCAGAATATACTGCTTCCAACTGCTACCAGAGCATTAAGCACCAATGCATTTGAAACAAATTCAAAAAATATGTTTATATTCTTCAAAGTGAGGTATTACTATTGGAAGTTTAGCAGTATATGCCCTTGTATTGGAAGATTTAAAACAATACCCAGCTCTCAAGTATTAAATTATATTTTCATCACTGCCGTATTGAGTATGCATACATGCCTCACCTCTAATGGAGGGGCAAGGCTATAAGGAGGTATAAGAACCCTTAAAGCCCTTGAAAAGCGAGAAGCAGCAAGTTCTCTATATTGAAATATATAGAGAACTTGCTGCTTCTCGCTGGGAGCCTGCTGGTAGCTTTTCCGCCCAGCACACATTTTCCATTTTTCTGTCACTGCTGCTTAAGGTTGACCGTGTCAAACTTTTGCTGCTTGCACCTGGATGCAGAGCGGACTGCTGTGGTAGCCGCTGTGGGATTCTGATTAGCTCTACGCAGCTGCGCTTGATGCATTTTGGTGTTAAAGGGCTTTTATCCAACGGAGATCAATTAACAGCTGTAAAATTGAAAAATGGGCAGTTTGTAAGTTCTGACTATGTGTTGCCAATAAAACAAAGTACTAAGTTAAAGGCAACTGAACTTAATGTTGGGTTTTGAGGACTTTCCCAAGAGGCATTATCAGTCCTGCTGACTGGCAGCCATTTTAATCTTCACACCTGGAGGAGTCCTTGAGGTCCTGTGTGAGTCGTTAAGGTCACATGACAATCTTGTGAAATATCAGAGTCCAATTAACTGATGTGAATTGTTATGAAACCTTGATTAGAACGTTTAGACAGCTTATTGTTTCATATTGATGGTCTTCTTCATGTATGTTTAAACTATCTGTCTACTGAATCTAAATGCCATCCTGACATCGCTCCCAAGCCATTAAGGGAATACTTTCAATTACTCACCCTGTGTTGCCTTGAATTCTTAAAGAATCATTTAATAATAATAATAATAATTTATTAAAAAACAAACAAACACAGATGCTATCTATAAGAAAGGTCTGATCCATCCATCCATCCATCTTTCTAAAAAACAGGAGTCTGGATGAATTGAAGTAAGTGGGGTCTTGGTTTAACAACAGCAAAACTACATGAAAACATCCAATTGCAGACACTCACGTAACTCGTGCAGTTTAATCCAAGTCACATTTACTCAATCGTATGCTCATTACTTTCCAAACGTTACTATTTAAAACAACCGTCGCACGCTTGTGCAGGTGCGCTACATGTGAGTCCGGACGAGTGCAAAGTGTTTTAAACAGTAAGGTTTAGGCAAAGAGGCATGTGTGTGGGACATGCTGAGCAAACAACTGGATGAATAAGACTCTGTTCTCTGAGTCTTTGTTCAGCGTTGAGGCATGCAAGAAAATCAGGTTTTTTTTAAGAATTCAAGGCAACACAGGGCGAGTAATTTTGTGGGCTAAGTATTCCTTTAATGAAATGTGACATGTGACCTCATTGACTCGCATGTGACATTGACATGTGAACATCCCATAGAGCATCAAAATGCCTGGGACTCTACACTGCTTAGTTGAAATGAAGATGCCTCTTGGATGAGCGGTGACACATCTTGAAAACCAAGTCTAGTTTTCATTGAAATACTATGACCTGAATGATAATCGTCACAGGCATATTTCCTACTGGTTTGTCTGTAATGCTGGTTGAGATCATTTCACGTGGATGTCAAATTTGAAAGTTATGCTATTGTGTGTTTACCTCAGCATCAAAGCGAGGATCCTGATAGGCATCGCTGATGTTCACGGGGAGTCCTGTGGACGCTACCAGCTCTGCGATACTGTTGTTGATGAGCCAGTCTGAGTAAGACGACCTCTCCATACTGTCTTTGAAACTAGGGTCAGAGAATAAGACGGCAGGATGACAAAAGGAGCATAACAGAGAAAAACAGCACTTGGACAAATTTTTCCACTTTTTCTCAGGAGAGGTTTGATTCTCAAACACAATCCTTAAGATGATAACTTTGTTGTGATAAGAATAAGAAATAAACTTTTGTACTTAAGTAAAAATATTGTATTCTCTTTTACTGCAAGCTGGCAAAAGGCCTTTCTTATTTCTCCTTGTGGACCCTGTTTTACGTTGACTTGCATTTAATGAACTTTTCATACAGTAGGATATCAGTAAGCTTCTCCTGCAGCTTATGAAGTAATGAAAAGTTAATTGTGTGATTGTCTTCCTCATTGCCAAACGCCCCCACACTCTGCCACAGAAACACCTGCATCCCTGCACAGACCTCCCATTCACATTTACTGCAGTGGGCTGACTTTTTACCTCACCAAACGTAACAAGTTACATGTTCAGTGTGGCTCATTTTTGTCTTTCCAGACTAAAATAAAGATGCAGGGACACTTCTGTCAGATCTTTTGAATTCCTTTGATTTAGTGATACAGCTGTGTGTGCAGCAGGGAATAACCCTCATGGGTGTGATGGCAAGATGCCTTATAGTATCTACTTCTTCATTCTTTCTCTCCATTGTCTCTGTCTCTCCCCTGTCTCACATCTGTCATTTATCTGCCACAGACACACTAGCAGCATTGTACACTCGCTCAAAATGATCCTCCCCATGGGGGCGGCTGGGGATTGTAAGGCACATTAGAAATCCTACAGTGCGCTCGCCTTCTGACACAAAATGTATTCACTTAATTACACACATGAATCTTGCACAGCAGCCCTTGATATTCAGATACGAACCTTTAGCGAAACTAGTGTCATCAAAGAGATGCTGTATTTCTTTTGTCATGTCAGCAAATGTGTAGTTTTATTACTTGAAATCACAAAATGGCTATTTAATTAATATGCGACACCAGAAACACAGATCCATATGGGAGTGTGTTTAGTCAGAAAGACTAAATTGGCCACTCAAGCAGACTGATATTTATTTAATTGCAACTCATTTCTAACTTTCGGTATTTTAAATAAATGTTGTGGTTATTAATACTGCCTTGATGTGACCATATCAGTTATGGCAAGTGCAGGACTTGGGGAATAATTTGTCTTCCTTTCAGCATTGGTTTTCATCCATAAACATCCCACACAATATTAAGCCTCTCTTTGTCCATTCAGCCATCCCAAGCAGTGGAGAGAAGCAGCAAAACCCAATTAAGTAGGGGTCCTACAGTATGCCTTCTATTCAGCATCAGCATATTACTCCCACAGCACTACAAATATTCAATTTTAATACATTATTTTTTGTCCTTGATGGAAGCTTTACAGATTAAAACAAGGCTCTGTGCAGAATTTACAGAAGCCATGGTGCCAAAGGCAAACAAAGGTGGAGATACAACTATTTAATTAAAAGAGGTTACTGGGATGAGTAAATGTGAAAAAGGAGGGCAAAGCTATGTTTTTCATTAGGCCGACTGTTATTGAGGAGCAGAGTAGATTTTAACACTGAAACACCATACATACCTGCTTTCAATGTCTGCACTACACTTAGGGGACAGTAGCTCAAACGACTTGGTGAACTTCACCACCTGAAAGTTTTGAGAGGGGAAGAAATGCACCTAAGCTCTTGGAAGGTGCACAGTGCTCACTGGTAAAACTAGAGGCAGACAGAGAGAACAGACATGTACATGCACAAATGTACAGACAGATAGCTGTAAACACACAGCAGAGGAAAAACAACGGTACCGGTGACTCAATGTCCTCCAGCAACTGAACAGAGCAGCGCTCGCACTTTAGCAATGTCTGGGCACGGTGCATGATCTTCCTGATAATCTTCTCCACGTCCGTCTGCTCTTCAAACAGGTCATTGACTACCTCCAAGAGTGCCTGAATAACAGCGACAGAAAAAGACACCACTGCCATCATTCCAAACAATCTCAACCACGTGCTGAAACGCAGTGTAAAAGCCACTTTACATAAATATGTTTTGCCTTGGTCAGCTGTTAGAGCATGATTATTAGTATTAGTATTAGTATTCATACTACTACTACTATTATTAATATTGTTACTATTATTAATAGTATCCGTAAACCATAAACCAACAGGGTAAAGGTAAATTTGTCCCTTTATCTAAGGTAGTGACAATCCAATTCCATTATATTCTCTTCCTTGTGTGACATGAATTAATGCATCTGTTAACATTACTTCAGCCCATCTCCCACCATAGATCCAGAGAAAATGTCCATGCAGGACTGCATGCCGCTCTGTGATCCCCACTGCAGTGGCAGCAAGTGGGCTGCTGATCAATACTCAGCCTCAGTGTCAGCATCAGGGGGGGGGGAAGTAATGCTGATCCCAGGGATGGGGGGGTTTATTGTCCTTACCCGACTCTTGTCATACTCCTTCCTTGAGGCGGCGAAGAGTTGGGCATTGGAGATCGCAATACCACAGAAAGGCAGGTACATCTGCAGCACCTGTGGACATATTAAACAGACTTTTATTTAGCAGAAAAACAGGGTTATTTATCAAACATGGTCCCTGACCTACATTTCTTTTGAGCTGCCCAAAAACGTTTTTTAGACATCTTTAAACTACAATGTGGTCACCACTTTGTCTGTATTGTGCATGTGGGCAACGCAATATAATGTCCTGCAATGGTTTAACGCTACTCCTCTCATCTACAGATGGCAGCACCACGCGAGGAAGCATATAAATGAGCCAACAGGAAGTGAAGAAGAAGGCTGCTGGATTCAAATAATCTGCCTTGCAAATATTTCATGAGGAGGGAAAAGCATTCAACAGATTTGTTAGAGCTCAAGGATTGAAACAATGTGCTTTCGAGAGAAACACAGAATGTAAACGCCCAAAGAAAAGTCTGCAGAACATCTATATTGTCGTAGCCAATTTTAGAACTGACTATGAGATTAGAGCTTTTTCGTAAAAGAAAGCAAAGAAGAAGAAAAAAGTTGAGCGAGTAATATTTTCATGCGAGAAAAACGTAGCTTTCAAATTGGAACAAGTAAATGGCCTTTCAGTGGCATCATTACTTGCTAGGACAAATAAATCAATTCAACTGACATTTTACTATTTCACTGAAAAGTCAGACTTGCTGTGCCTTGGGCTGATACCATAAACTCCTTATTTCATTCATATTTTTCTTCACATAAATAATGTAATCACTTGATGTGGCCTAATGACTTTACTTACCGGTAATATAAATTGAAATCGAATCAACGTCTTACTAGTTTGGAATTGCACATTTATTTTTTCCTCACCACTGTTGATTCATTATGGACGCCAATACGCAGGACGCAGAGAAGTGGCTTCAACCGCATGCTGTTAAGACAGCTGTGATGTGAATACACAGGTTGAATTCTATACAACTACGATTAGCCTTATCTGAGAGACACTCGGCCTCCTTAACATGGAATCAATAGAATTGAGGTTTGGGTGCTTCCTTACTCTGCCTATTTGTTTAGTTATCTATCTTTAGCATCTGGCTGCTGTGTAAACAATACGATGAGTACAACAAACCCACTAATATTTACCAGCCTTCAGTGCGGCCTGGTGGTAGGGACACCACAACAATACATGAATGGGAAGTTACTCAGCTGTGGCCTCGGATACAAGGACATCTCTTTCACCCTTTAGAAAGGATAACGCTTCACTTACTCATCGGCCACAAATGAACATGTAAAGAACAGAATCCTTTAGCACTGTGTTGATAACTGGGAAGCTTGAAAAAAAAAAAAAAAAAAAAGGTATTCCTCAAGTTCACGACCTTGAGTTAGGGACCCCATGTGGAGAGACGTCTCATGCAGGAAGTGAATATGCTGAAAATTTGATATGCTATAGTGAAATATATAAAACATGTTTTTAATATATATTCATATTTCAGTGTAATACGTTTGGAGTTTCTTCAGTGCTCACATGCCAACTTGACAGGACTAATTGCTGGGGTCATGATAATTGTAGACTTAAAACTGGCATCGCAGCCTGGAAAAGGTTGAGCAACCCTGCTCTAATTGCTGTAATTTCTCTTTACAATCAAACAGCTCTCCCGGATTGGCTGTATATGCTTAATTTCTGTCTATATTTCAATGGTAGTATGGCCATCTCAATTTAAAGAGCGCTTTGCCTTAATTGTTTTTTTTACTAAAGAGAGACTCAAGATTGAGGGAACATATACATACAACAGTGGAGTTAGAAAGTTTTTACATACAAATCAGGCTACAAAACTTCATTCACCAGATCTTATGAAGCTTGAAATATACAAGCTTTGTCACTCTTGTGTTGAATCTGTGTGTTTGATTGGTTTTATAGTTTTGTTTTGTGTACCACTGATGCAAAGTTATTGTGTTTATAGTAGTTAATGTTTAGTCATCAAATCAATTAAATCAATCAATACCATAAAACGCAAAAAAATATCACACTGATGTGTAAGTTATGATACTCTTTTTGCTAAGTGCAAATTAAATCCCTAAATCAAAAAAACAATGTGAATCATAATGTGATAATAATCTGTCGCGATAATGAGTACATTAACTTTATGCACTTCATTCAGTCATTATACATAATGAAGCACCCTATGCAACTGTTTTCAGACATGGAAAACAGATGATGCTGAGCAATAAGCTCATACATAATGCTTTTCCAGCTGGCCTATGGAATTCTCTAATAATGATCTTCCAGAAAGGCGGTGGCCATCAATAGTCCCAGCAGGAGCAGATTCATTAGCGAGCAGGACTTTGGGTATCTGGCTATGGATCTACAGGCAAACCCAAGAAAAGCACTGCCCTCTCTAATTACATTCTGTCAGGCAGGCCATTATACAAGGTTGCATTACAAACGAGACATTTCTGCCTAGAGACCCGTGGACAGACCAGTAAAGAGTGGTTTAATAACGAAACTAACTGGCCGAGGCCTCGGGGACAGTCAGTTCCTCTAACCTCAATGACTTCCGCTTCCACAACTGGAAGATGAGGCAAGCCAAGGGAAATTACATAGCCAAAGCCAGCAGCTTTCTTTCTTTCCACTTCCCACTCTCCATAACAACTGGTATAGTTGCTGTGTTCACTTTGCATGTGCACGGTTAATCCAATGTTGCTCTCCATTTCCTCTGATCTCATATGGGGCTCCCTAGCCTGTACCATAGTTTTGCAAATATACTTAGCAATGATTGCTCCTTTTGAAGGTGGTATCAAATATTTATGCAACAGGAATCTACACTCTAATACCTTTTACAAATCATTTGTATCTACATAAAGAGTCAAATGAATACCATGTAATAAAGGACAGTTCATAATTCTGTTTTCTCCCTTTATACCACCATACGATTTACAAAGTAAAATTCCATACAAATTTAGCAGTTATGATATAATTGACTGGCTGTAATTTATGACCCTAATACCACACAGCTAATAAACACTGTACCACACCAGGATTGCTGCTCAATAACTATTTTCCATAAATTATTAAATTGTTCTACACATTGCTGGTACATGGAGAAACGCCAGGAGCACAGCAAGGTCACAACAACTAAGCAGTGGATGTTGCATCAGTGCAGTAAGATCAAGACAAATCAAGTCTTTGGAAACAATTATTGCTCCTCTTCTTGTCGCCATAAACGATGCGAGAAACTGGATCAAATGAACCTTCTAACTACAGTGACTCTTTTGAGGTTTTCTTGTACTTTGTAAACAAGTTCACAAACATACTAAAAATAAATATGCACAACAGCGGGATCAGATAGACGTGTGACAAAGTTTGTTGTTTTTATTTTGGAAGCTTTTTTGAAATAGCTTGTACCTTTTTGTATGTAGCAGTGTTCGGAGATAAGGTCAGACGTGGTGAGAGACATTTGTATCAATGAAAACACTCTTTCATTATACAGTTACACTGCCAAACATGTTGTCAGTTGGACAAACAAGCTTTTGTATCACCAAGCATCCATGCTGTCCTATATGCAGAGAATTGGCTCCAATGAAGGCAACCAACAGTCATCATCTGCCAGATATCGGTCGGTATCGGTTTATGTTTACTTGTTTTAAGAGTTGTCCACTCAGATATCACAATTTGCTGCATTGAATATGCTACTTCAGCATGGTACAGTTTTAGCTCCTCTTATTTTTTTCATTGAACAAAATGTCCTCTTTATGTTATTTGCAAATAATAAATGACGCATGATGCATCGGACTGCAAATAACCCAAGTAAAATTATGCAAAATAGGATAACAGACAAGGAGTCAATATTGTAGTTCAGTCACTTAGCCAGCATAGAGTTCAATTCAAGCCCTTAATCACCCCCATCATCCCCTGTATCTGTTGCTCTTTGAGAGGATAGGCAGCCAAGTCTGCCTCTTTGGGGGTTCCCACTGTACAGTATGTCATCCGCGTATATTCTTTTCCCATATCTTCCAGAACCCTCATATTGCAAATGTTGTTTTCATTGTTGTCGTTTTTTTATTTCCTCTTGATTTAAGTGGATTTAAGTGACATTTTGCTGTTGTATAAAGAACTATGTAAGGAACTAGTTTGAAATAATGCACTGAAAGAATTTGATTTGATCTGGAAATCCTGCAGGAACGTATTGAAGAAATGTGGCTCCAAGCAGACATTGTGTTCTCTCTTCTTTAGCTGTAAGATTTTCATTGGGAAATTGTGTGAACGCAGTTATTACAGTATTGCTTCGAGCCAATTTGACAGAGAGTTTGGCAGCCAGAGGGAGCACAGCGGTGAGGTGAGAATGCTATTAGACAATCGACTCTTACAGATGTTAAACTATATTGGCAAATGGAACCTACATGGGGGAACTTGCATGTTATCAAGAGAAAATTCATGAAAATGTCTACCTGAATATAAAACGTAATGTAAAATGTGTTAAGAGACATGCAAAGTAAAAGAAAAGCTAAATCAAGATAATAACGCAATATGTAGAGATAGCAGCATGAGGTCAGCTTATGCACTTAAATTAAGTCAATAGCTATATTCCTCTACAGAAGATAATCAGACAACGCAATTATACATGGCTTCCCAAAGGACTCCCTCCCTGCAGGGTATGAACACAACACAATTAAGGCAGCGTGGGATTTAAAGTCAGCCATAATGTGTTTAAATATCCGATAAGCTTTCAGCGTATAGAGAACAACATTTGTCCGAATAAAGATACAATAACGTTTCTAATGGCATCTGCTATTGCAGCGTTGTCTCATGCTCTGAAAAGTGTGCTACATTTTCTTGGGGCTTCCATAAAAGCAGAGCTGCAGCTGTGCGGTGCAGGGAGCTTACTGCGTTCTCTGATGCTGGCATTGCATTTCATTACTAATTTAGCTGTATGCCATCCTGAGCATTAGTGTGACATTAATGCAATGTGAAACGAACTCAAAACATCAGCAAGAAAAAAAAAGAATTCCTAATCTGCATCTATTAAGAACAATGGATGCAATTTTGACAGTAGAGCTCCAATGGAGAAAAACATACTATAAATAAAAAAACTAGTCTTTTGCAGTGAAACCTAAACCTGAAACAAAAGTGCAGCTAGCTCTGTGCTGTCATGTTTCATCTCCTCTCCCCTTTAGGGGCTCACAGCTGCAATGAGGGAACAAGTCAGTGTGTCGGCTTGTTGACGCCTTTCTGTTACTCCTATTCATGTGCGCTGATGGACTAACGTGATCCTCGTGATACTCTCTGATGATGTGTAATAAGTCAAATAAACGTTCATTCAGAAACAGAAGGTCTATCTGGATTAGTGTGAGATGTAACACCCCCACCTACTGCTTTTACATATTATAGCCTATTTGTATATTGTCTTCATTCACTTCCATCTTTGCCTTTTGTGTTTGTCACAGCTGCCAACTTGACTGATCTGTTTCCTGACTGAGCTGATCCACATCGGCGTAAAGTAGCAGTCACACCTGGAAGAACTAGTCTGATTTTTTTTGGCCAATAAGCAGCTCCAGTGAAACAGTTCGTATTTTGCTAGGGTAACTCCATTAGCAATCACATAGTAAGTTGTGTAATCTAAATGGTGACACTAAATTCAAGACTGACACTCTGGCAGTGCCACTAAGCAGTAAAGTAAAGCACTCACCACTTGGAGATTCTGAACAGCTTATATAAAGTTGTTATTCTTGGTGACAATACAACAGGGTCCTGGCCCTTTGGAAGATACTGCCTCGGGAAAATGTGATGACTCTGAGAGACAAGCTATGACCTAGCTAGAAACTGAGCGCTGAACACTGAGACTCAGACTCAGGGCAAATATGCTACAAGTGAGACTGAGCTGAAGGAATTTAAATATATAAATATTAGTTCAGCTTGGACACAGAAACAAACAGATAATTTCAGCATTACAGCCTGTTTATCAGACTGTTGTTTAACAGTTTTGCAGTTAGTGTTGCTTGTGAAATATTAAGAAGGGATGCGCGAGGAAAAGACAGACGTAAAGGCATGTTCAAACTCTCATGACAATAGATCAGCAATTCTAATAATGAGGTAAAAACAAAATGGAGAGTCAGTCTGAGCATCAGGCCACAAAAAGGTTCCCCTAACTGATGAATCCCCCAACAATTAATGAAATGTTCCATAGCAAGTTAAATGCTTGCAGGTAATGGCAAATCATAACGTACAAAATATGAGAAAAATACCTTTTTTACTTCAGAAAATCCATTTGTTTTATAAATATATTAGATCTGCTATTGCAAATATTTAATAACAACATTGCAATCAAAAATGAGATCACTACTGCTATACTACAGTATTATCTAACATTTTACTCTGAATAACAAATGTCAAGCCAGACATTATCAACAGACAGTATTAACAATGAACGACCGTACCAAATTGTGTGTGAATAAATGATAACTGAAAACAGAGATTGCACATGAATCCCAAATTGTCAACCATGTGGTGGCGCTAGAGGAAAAGTCAGGGTATTAACGATTCACCCACTGAGTAGCATGTCTGTACAAAGATGTCTTTGCTCTGTAGACCAACCAACTGCCATTGCTATCCCTAGTGCCTTGTTGCAGATGTGTGTAAAAATGTGACCAAACTACAGTATTGTATTGTATAAAACCACGTGGCATATTACCTTTTACATGTGCAGAAAACAAACCTTTTATATGAACTGAGATGATAATAAATGGTTGTAAGTCAAGACAGCATTTGAATCAAACAAAGAAAAGCCAACACACTCATCTTGATCTATTCTGCTCATGCCAAGCAAGCAGTGGGACACATATTGTGCTATGAGAGAACATTACCTTCACCCAGCATACTCGTATAACTATAATTGTGAAATTACCTTTTCATCATCTTCAGTGAAGAGTTCTCCACTTGAAGTCTTGTTGATGGCCTGAGCAACCCCAATGATCTCTCCATCACTGTTGTGAATGGGCATGCACAGGAGTGACTTGGTTTTGTACCCTCTCAGCTTGTCAATTTCATCACTGAACCGACGATCCTGCAATCCATAGGGACAGCGCAAAATTAAAACACAGTGTAAGCACTTATTGCACAAAAAATATCCAGTTTCCCTTTTTACGTTCAGATGATGGTGCAGTGAAATGCACAACTCATCAGGACTCTGAGTCCTCCAAACCACAAAGATAACGACAACATGACAGACAAATGTCTGACTTGAATAGGACGGCCGTTTATGGACATTAAAATAACGTCATTTTTCTTTTCTATTACTCATTTCTACTGTAAACATTGGTTCTACCAAGAATACAACCTCTTAGACTTTTCGTCTACACTATCAAAAAGCCCCTAACATAACATAACATCAAGTAATTTCATGTCCTTGCAGTTTTAATAAAATTTAGTATCATCTTGCTTTCTTAAAATCATGGTAGAAAGTGAGATTTGCAAAAACAACAGGGAGAAAATGATACCTCTCCTTAATTGACTTATTTTGTATTACTCAGTGATGTCTTTGTGAAACTATGGTTTGTCACAAGCTGTTGGTGTTGGGTTCCCATGCTCTGTTACACATTTTGACTGATGATCAATTAACTGTGTCAGATAAAATGACAGAGTGAAAGTAAATGATCTGTCTTCCTGTCTGAGTCTCTCTCTCTCTCTTTCTGTGTCTCATGCTAATGCACACACGCATGCATGCAGAAAGAGGAGCAGGCACCTGATAGGCGTCAGAAATGTTCACTGTCTCTCCGTGCTCAGCCACATATCCGATGATTCCTTTCCCCCACGGCACTTGAACTTCATCTGAGTTAATTGAGGGTAAAACAGTGGTACCTGCGTGCACGTCAAAGAATTTGGACACCAGTGTCTTCTTGTTGCCTGTTCCCTCCACTAAAAACAATGAGCACCGGTCTGCGTCGACCATAATACAAACAAACACAAGGATTTTGTAGCTGAGACTCGTTAGATCCAAGTCGTTAGATATGTCTTTCACGAGCTCCAGGAAAAACTCTCTTTCGTTGTGTTCTTTGAGGTAATACTTAAAATCCACGGCTGTGGACGGGTACTGGGGGATGTTGACTCTGGACTCCAGCAGTGCGCTCAGTATGTGCGCAGTGGTCGGGGGCAGAGAGCTCGCTTTCCTCAGCAGAGCTCTCCTCCTCATGCTCGTCAAGGGCTCCTGGGCCCTGGAATTGACATGTTCGTCGTACGTCCTGTTCACATTGATGGCCTTTGATCTGGCGAAAGTTTTGCGCAGCTCCTTCTGCGAGACTCTCCTTTGCAGGCCGTCGCGTTGGCTCGCCCAGCTGTCCTTACACTCGTTGCTCTTCTCCTCTCTCGGCCAGGCGGGAGCTGCGGCCGCCGAACTTTTGCTCGCCTTGTGATTCTTGAGCCATTTCTCCACCATGCTATATTTCCCCTTTCTGTTCAGGTAGTCCTCGAACAACTCGGGATGCGAGTCCAGAAAACTTTCCACGTCAGAGAACACCATAGTTGGCACTGCCATGCCTGTTCTTCAGATGGTCCTCAGCGAACCAAATCCACGAAGTCGCGCAGAGAAATACCATCTATGAGGCTTTACTGAGAGTTGAAGTAGAGAATCATTTGAATACCATAACTTCCAAGATGCGTTATCCTGAGAGCCCCTGGTGCTCTGGCTACATACCCGGTTTCCACTCTGTGAGGAGAAGGATGGAGACTCCCTTTGCGCACCAGCATATTCCTCCACAGCATCTCCACACCATTCACTTAATTTAAGACCATCAAAGCACATCTAAGTAAAGGAAATTAAAGCTCGCGTGGACTATCACGTGCATTGATCATCTCCCAGAGAGCCACCACCGAGCACCACCGTCGTATGGGTCTTCTTGTGTGCAAATGACGCTGCCTGTGGTTGGCTCGGTCCCGCTGACGCGTGCTTCGTCACAGACAGGAGCTCAGTGTTGCTCCAGCAGTCATTTGAACCGCTTGTCCTCCTCGACTTGCGCTCTAAGTATGATGATGGTGATGATAATTAGTGTAAAGTCATCTGTCATCTTCTCAGCATGCATAATACATATTGTAGATGTATGTAAAGATGTAAAAATGGTGGATGTTTGCATTGTCATTTCATGAAATTATGCTTCAGCAGTGTCAACCATAATGGATTCCGATGTAATCCCCGACGAGGCTTTGGTGATGGCACTGCTGGCTGACATGAGTGACAAAATTGAATGACTATCGCCTGAAGAACAACGAAACATCTATTACACAAGCCACACGCTTTGGCAAATGTGGAATCTGCAGTGGTTTATCTATACAATTTAATAATGGAACAACGACTTTTCTTGGCAGGAGGGGGGTGTCAGAAAATCTAATTCCTTTATACCATTATAGTATTAGTGGATCTGTGTGCAGATGTGACCTCTGGACGCTAGAGGGAGTTATACTCCACAGCATCGACTAGGAATATAGACGCAACCCAACTCTGATGGATAAAACGGTCTTAGCTGCCGTCTCCCGTCATTGGGCACTCCTTGTCCAATGACCTCTTTAAATACAATCACACCCGAGCGTTTAGAAAAAGGAGTTTAAACAAAAGCGTTCTATAGAAAGCTCTGGTATTTGGTACTAGCTCATGACACAGGTCAAAACACATTTTTTTTTTTTTTTTTTTTAAATAATTGTACCAGCCGTTCTACCTGCAGTTTCCTAACAAATGCACTTAGTAACTGTTAGCCAGACAACATCTGTAACCCAACATCGAGTTTTCACCGAGGCAAAACAAACTCTAACCAACATCTTTAAAAATGGGAGGCATTTGTGACTTTTTATATCAGCTTCCAAATTCAAATAGGCTCTTTGAAGCTACAAATATAAAGTTGCTTCATTTACAGAGGAAAAAGGCATCTTTCTTCTACAGTATATTGCACTAATTTGGTTCAGGAATCTACATGAGCCAAAACTGTAGAAACAAGAACACCATGTCAGCCTGACATGATACATCCACACCCAGTACTTGGTCATTATTATTTTTTTTAAGACACCCAACCAGATTCACTTCTAGGAACATTGTGTCAAACAAATAAGAAAAAGAATAAACGTTTAGTGTTGTTTCTTGTCTTCTATTTAACTTGCACATTCAATAATGACATTAAAAGACCGTTGAGATATCATCAAATTGGAAGCAGACATGGCATATTCATTCTTGGAACGGACAGTTTTTAAGACAGCTTGATTATAAATCAAGAAAGTACTGACAAAAAAAATCCTGGATGACAATAAGAAAATAGAATACAAAGCTTTCAGTCCCTACATTCTGAATACACAGTATACATTTTAATAATTCATGCTAGAAAAGGAACCTGTTAAAACCAGGGGATATCATTTTCTCCACCACAAAAGGAGGAGGAGAAACAGAAGTACAGCTGTGACAAAGATGGAAACCTATCATGTCTTTACCAGTCGGAGATTGGTTGCCAGTCATGCCTGATTTTGACAGAAAGACAAGTCCTGGCCTCTTTACCAGTTCAGTTTGTAAGTGCACGAAAACTGGCAAAGACGCGCCGACAAAGTGTTCTTTATGAAGTTGCAGACTTAAGGTACGCTATAAGGTCGGATCGTTCGTTCTTCTTTTTGATGCCAGCGAAGATCATCTTTGTTCCTGGAATGTATTTCTTGGGGTTCTCCAAATAAACCATCAGGGTGTCGTCATTCCAGGTAATGCCTGAAATCAAAGTGAGCAAACACAGTGAAGAAGAAGAATGTTTAAGCCACACAGCATCATTCCTTTTGACTATTAAAATACTGGAAACTTGCATAACGTATTCACCTTTGCTTTTGTTGGCATCAGTGTAGGAGAAGCCCTCTGCCTGGCCGGTTTTGCGTCCAAACAGACCCCAAAGGTTAGGCCCCACCTTGTGCTTCCCACCCTCATCCACAGTATGGCACTGGGCACACTTTTGGACAAATGCCTTCTTGCCTTTGTTAAGGTCTACAGGCATGGTTTCTATAAGAGGAAAAAACGCACACACACACACACACACACACGCACGCGCGCACACACACACACACACACACACACACACACACACACACAGGACAATTGGACTTAGTTGCTTTACATTGTCAGTAGTTACTGACTTATGTTAAATTACTTCCATTGGCCAATCTAATTGTGTTTTGTGTTACTTTCCGTGGCTGCATTTGATTAAAATAAAAAAATAAAAAACCCTCATTCTGCCACTAGGGGGTTCACAGTTGCGTAACTCGGACCCGGTATTGTTACAAAATCACTTTAGGTAACTTTACAGTTTCTGTTAATACACAAACAGTAACGTACTGTTACCTCTACACGTTTACTGTATCCGTCATGTGACGAGCTCCAACAAAGAAAAGGTCGCATAGTGTATCTTAGACAGGCCTACCGTCAAACAATGTTATTATAAGTTAGAAACCTCTGTGAGGTTTGTAAAATATATGGAGACATTTTACAGTAAAAGTAAGAACTTCTTGTAGATTCAAAAAAAGAGACTTTGAATTACCCGGAAACAGTGTAACACCGGCAGAAGACCACGTTGTACACGAATGGACCCGGCAAAGACGGATTTAAGTCGCATAGAGAGATACTTCACTGGCAACAACGAACCAAAACGCTTAAGATGTTGATGATCAGCTTCTTACCTTTTGTCGGTGTTTATTTTGCGGACTTATTGAGACGTATTTCCTCAGCTTTTGGCTTCTTACGAACTCGGGCACAAGTTATTCATGTGCGTGCTCCCTCTCAGTGACGTTACTCCCGCTGAAACGTCATCAGTCAGCTGACCTGTTTCATCATCCTCACTACAGTGGTTTCTGTTATCAAATTACGCAAACCTCCACATCATGCGGAGTAACCGCTTCTTAAAAATACTAAAAAAATAAATAGAACACCTCCAATGTATAGAAACCAGAGCATAACATATTCATTTATTTCCTGTTATTAGACACTGCCGCATAATCATAAACATCTTAAAGACGTGCCTTGATTCTAGGTGTGGTGGGATTAACAATGTCTCTCTATCAGAGCAAGGTAGCATGTAATACATTACCATCTGCAATTACATGGATGCATACAGTAACATCAAATCGTGTACTGTCATTCTGAATTGACAGCACAAAATGTGTTGTCGCCTTAAAAGGGGACCTTAGACATTTCCACTGGTTTCTGCCCATATACAGTATTCAAATGCATCCAATCCCCCTGTTGGTATTCATTAGAAAACCCAAAAATGATAATGTCCAATCATGACAAGGTCAATTCTAGCAATGATGAGTTGTAATAAAGCTTAAACTGGAAAAAAAAACTAGGTGAAGCCAGTCATGAAATCTAATACCCAACCATTTTTGAGACAGACACAGACGGGAATAGTTTACCTTTGCCCATAGACTGCCTGTCAAGTTACTTTAGTACTACACTCTCCATCTCTCAAGTTACCTTGTACATAAAATATTCCCTGCTGTGTGAAAAACCCAGGAGTGCAGTGCACAAGTTTCCAGATGGCTCTGCCCCTGGAGCACCAAACCATCACACAGTTACTTATCATTGGTCTCTTTGCCCATCCAAGACTTGCAATCAAAGTAAATAAAAATATTAAGTATAAAAATGCACAACATATACAATACAAATAACAGAGTAAAAAAAATACAGTATATACAATGAAATAGAATAGTATTAAATTAACTAACTAAACATAAACACTATGGAAAATAGTATGACAGCATTGGCACCCAATTGGACCTCAGAGCTACGTACGTTTGTGACGTAACTACTGTACGTAGTGCGGAGGTCATCAGTGGAGCTATGTTACTCCGTCATGATCACGAGATTAGTCTAATGAGCGCACGTGGAAAGGTAAAGGGAGCTCTCCACCGTTGAGTAACTGGGCACTCCGAGTCCGAGCTTTCTGCGACTCCGCCGCCGCGTTTTGTGACCAGCCCGCTGTCCGCCGCTGTCTGATCCGTTCCTGCGATTTCTTCCCGCTCAAAGCCGATCTTGCTGCAGGGAGGAGCGAGCGGAGAGCAGTCAGCGGAGCCGAGCGGAGCATCACAGCCCCGCATTCAAGGAAACGGGCAAACACAGCACTTTCTTCTTTTGACTTTCCGTTATGCAGCACACGTACTTAATAACAAGAAATATATGCATGTCGATGTGGATCCTTACGGAAGCCGTTTGACTCTGAGAGGCTGGAAATCTCTGCCCCCCCCATTTGTGTCCTGCGCCAAGAACTGTAAAGACATGGTCATTACACCGCATCTGTGGTAAGGCAATACGCTTCTTCTGTATCTCTCTTTCAACGCAATCTCAATGGCAGTTTATATCGAAGCAACCACCGTGTCGTAACAACGCTCTGTCGAATATAAGCGACCATCAGCCTGTGTTGTGGTTCGAGACCTCAGCATCTCGTCCTTTTTTTGTATTTGCATCCCGAGTGAATCACCGAGGACCAGTCAGACATTACTAACGGCGCCTAGCTTAGCGTTAGCTGCTGCTCGTCTGACACGGGGATGAGATGACCCGTATCGAAACGAGCATAATGTCGACCATGACGACGTAGGACCCCTAAAACATGGATGCTGTGTCGTGGACGACTTCGACGAGGTAGACGTAATGCGTCACCGACATGTTCACCTCTTTAACCGAGCTTCATGGTTTCCCCTAAAAACGTCCCATTTGGACAACTGTACCACCGCATATCTTGAGTGTTATCGATGAACACGACCTCCATCCCATAATCCTCTATGTTCCCCTCATTACGTCGTCAGGGTTGTGGTGCTAACTAATTGAAAGTTAGCCAACTTCTGTCACTGACAGCATGGCTCCACATTATCACCCTCTTCAACTGAAGGTCAGCCAGTGACTTTGCAGTTGTTCAAAATAGCCCCGAATCGCATCAACCGGAGAGCAGCAGAGGGGACATGGAGAGCCGGGTGGGTTGGTGGTTGTTTGCCGGTGGGCATGCTGTCTCGGGGCTGCTTTGATCAGCAGCGATGATTGATTTTCTGATATAATTCCTGAAGAAACCCCTCCTGCTGAAGGTGTCCCATTTAAATACAAATCATTGCAGAGCTCTATGTGCCTGTACCTCACCGAGAGGCTCCAAATATTGGGCAGATTGTCCTTTCTTTTTCCTGCCACATGTCATTAATATTGACAGTAAGGAGAGTAAATCAGATAATTGCTCCTTCTTACTTAATTAGCGGACACATTCAAAGCACATTCAATATGTGGCTTTGAGCCAAGGCCTATGAATGGTGTATATCTGCTCCTTTGGTTTGCTTACTGATAGCTTCTTAATGCTTGGCATCACTCAACGTATAGAGGTACCAGTGTGAACATGTTTTTTAGTTACTTTATGTTATACCTATACAAACATGTCTTCATCGAAACCCCCTTTCAACACATAACAAACATAAAAAATGCATCTCTTGACACAAACACTGTAGACTGACTTTGTCTGACATAAGATACCAGATCGTGGTTTGCACCAGGCACCAACTGACAGGATCTGAACAAGGATTCAGAGCCAACTTTCAGTTCCTAACAGTTCCCAATATGGGCACGACAAGTCAGTCAGTGCTTAAAAAGTATTGCAGTGTGAAGCCCGGCTCTACCTAGATGATGTAATGCGTGCGGCGCAGGATAAACTGGCTCTGTCCAGTTAGTGTTTGTTATAAAAAAGACAGGCTTACTCTAAAGAGATGTGCCGCTCACTGCTTCCAGATGTCACACGAGATCTGCACCCTGCTGCACAGCCAGGTCAGCGGCCCGAAGCGCTGCCGTTGCTGATCAATATGCATTAGCGGTCTTAAATTCAGACAATAGTCGTCCTCAAAGATAACGTAACGCAATCTCAGGACACGGGTCTGCTTCTTGTTGGCTACTTTAATTATGCAACAGAGAGGGGAGACCAGTAAGCCTGGGTCAGTGCTGGTCCATCATAATGTGATGTTTTTGGGTGGCGACACAAACGTGAATGTCTTTTCACAGTCGCCATCACGCCTCATACATGTTCGTGATGCCATTAACTTTACATTTAAAGTGCAACATAGGAGTGAGTGATCACTGTTTGTTTTCTTGTTTTAATTAGTTTGTTTGGCAGTGTGTTCTTGCACTGCTGCTTGACGAATAGTGTGTCTACATCACCACGTTTATTTTCCTCATCCCTCTCAGTCTTCGCACAGATAGTGGGATCGCTGCGGTGCTCTAAATCTCTGTGTTGCTCTCCCTTGTGCTTGACCCACATCAGGGCAGATTACAGTCGCTGCTTTATTCGTGATACTCTACTGATCCCAGTGGGAGAAATTTGACTTCTTTGTCGCCAACCACCCACCTAAGGTCACACCACATATTCAGCTCCGAAAAAAGCCCTGGAGCCCTAAACAGCCTGCAGGTCCCTGGATTTTATGCTCAAAACGACAAAATATTATGAACTATCTGTTGTAATGTTGTGGTTTATCTAACAGTTGATGCTCTGAAACAGGGAGACTTGTAGAGGGAATTATCAGAGTTGTTCACTCAATGTGTTCTCCTAAAGAGGCAGAGTCTAGATGAGTGAATCTTGTATAAACATGGGGCCCTAAATCTTTAAATGTATACATGCTCATCAGGTCATTGGTCTGTGATTTGGGAAGGCCCTTTCCACAAATAATCTTTCTTTTCTGGTGCATGAAGTGAGAAAGTCAGTGTGTTCAGTGCTGAGAGGACTTTTTGGGTGAACAAGAGAAATGGGAAAGGGAAGTGAAAGTGTTTTCCTGCTTATGAAGACATTTCATGCACATGGAGCCACACAACTATGAGGATATGCCCTCTTCTATATATACAGGATATACAGTAATACGATATGCCCGCTTGCTCAGCTGTTCACAGGAACCGCAAAGGATTAGCCCAAATTGAACCCTATCGCCAGAATAATAAGTTGAGAATTGTTTTCTTAATACAATATCTTAAAAAATCAAAATAATAAATATCTAAAACCTAATTTAAAGTCTGTTGTGCATTAACTGAGTGGTTGTAGAGAGAGTTTGGGGACATTATACTCCAATGTGAGCATAAAGTACATCAATAGAAAATATTAGTTACGTACGTGACTCCACATGATATTATAGAATAATAATTGAATGAATTGAATCATTGTATATTCTTTTGTTTTCAACAGTCTACTGTCTGTACAGGAATGTGAGTGCTTAGATCTCCAGTATCGTCTGTACGGCTTTAGCACAAAGCTAACACCCCCAACAGGAACGATCGGCCATTGAGTTGTTCATCAAAACAAGGATTACAGGATCATTCAATGCAGCGTGAGGCTCAGTAGTGTTTGGTGTGACTCTGTTCCCGAGGTCTTGATCAGGTGCTTAGGAGGTGTCGCTGTATTGTCCACATGGCAGGGCCTGCAGTGCTGCTTAAAGGACCATAATCATGGTGACTGGATTTAGAAGATTAAGCTCATGACATCAAGTCCCGATCGGACGTTCCCCAACGTCTCCCCCGGTGTTGTACGGAGGAACACTTGAGTCCATCTAAGCAGGAGTCAAACAGACACATTGGGGTCCTCCAAAGTAAAATCCCTGTATTTGTATTTCTTTGTGCATCAACTGTTTACTGTGACTGGTTAACCTGTTGGCACTACTGGTTTACACTACAAAAAATGTTACCTTTGGGCTCTGAGATAATATGCTTTTTATGTTTTCCACAGTGAAAAATTATTGACGATTAGCTGATTCATCGAGAAAATAAGCGGCAGATCAATCGATAACACAAATCCTTGTTAGTTGCAGCGCTACACTGAATATTTAAAGTGTTTTGATTGTGTTTTAATACATGTACAGTGTATCAACATGTACAGTGTGTGGACAGTGGTGAAGCTACATGTTTTCACTGCTACTTACAGCAGATTCATGTTCCTTCTGCTTCCATATTAGGTCAAGGAGAGTGGATCTATTAAACAGGCTGAGTGGAATACTCCGTCTGAACGGACTTACAGCGTCGTCTCACAGTAGCTTAGATCCTAGTTGGCTTAAGACAGGGCAGGGATGATGACAACGTTGCTAAGGGATCTGAATAATAGATTACAGTGTGTGAGTATACTGCACGCTTGCATGTGAGAGTGCACACTGCTGAAGTGTGCAGAGCTGCTTGGTGGACTCGGTGAGTTTCCCAAACACAGGGGAGAGCCTAACCGACACAACACAAACATCTGTATCACTGCCACACAGTAGTCTTTATCAACCCTTCATATTATGTCTTTGGCTTCATCTAGTAAACATAGTAATGTAATTAATTGTGTAATATATGTCAAAACATTACCGTAGATGTGGACAATTTAGTCTTATAGATTAAGTCATGATGTGAGACTTAGCCAGGGCTACAATCAACAATTATTTTCTTTATGATAATCAATATAAAATGTACATCTTAATTTCCTAAAACCTAAAGTAATGTCATTTAACTTAATTAGATTTTCTGGCAAAAACTCCAAAACCCAAATATATTCAGTTTACTTTCACAAAAACATTCAGCAAATTGTCACAATTGAGAAGCTATAACCCGTATGTCTCGCATAATTGCCTAAAAATGTTGTTTAATCAATTATTAAAATAGTATATGTTTGATAAATCAACAAATTGCTTCAGATCTAACCTTATAATGTATTATAGAGTAGTCACACACCAGTGCTTTGCTCATGATTTACTGTGGAGCTGCTGTTCATTGAGAAAATAAACACAATGAATCTTACTTTGTGTTCATTATATTCATATTACTTATATCTGTTTTCACATGGTCTTCTTCTCTGAATGTTATCCATGTCACATTATTAACATTTGATAAATGTTGTGCTATTTGTCCTTGTAAAGGTCCAATAACACTTAAATTAAATTAAGCAGGGTTTGTTAATCTTTGTTTTCCACTATCTTGCAATCGATGTATGTTTTGTCAGTGCTGAGACCTCCAGAGAGCTCAGACAATTACACAGCACCACTGCAGGCAGTACTGAGGGTCTCAGCATGGAGCGCCACGGTGCCATGACTAATGACGAAAACAAGCGCTCCCCCCGTGCTGTCTTTAGCTTAACACAAGGTTAACCACACATTTTAAAACTAATATATTCACACTTAATATCGTCAACAGTCAAAACCTTTTAAAATATCCAATCTACTGTCATTTAAAACAAAGCTGAGAAGCCAATTCTCCCATTTGAGAAGCTGGAACGACAAATCTTTGGTATTTTTGTCTGCAAAAAAAAATGACTTAAAGCTGAGGTAGGCAGTGATTTTTGGCGTCATTGGGCAACAATTCCATAATAATCTTTCAGCATATTGTGACTCAAGTGATACCCCGGGGGAGGCAGTTTTCTGGTGAAGGCATAATTTGAAAATACAGCCCTCCTCTTGCAACTCTCCCCTCTCTGACCTACGTTCTTCTCAGCATTTCAGAGATGGAGAGAAAATACTTCAGCCTTCTACTAACCTAGACCTCATGGTGGTCAGCTCGTGCAGAAGGCTAACATTATGTTAAAAATGTTATTATGGAGTTTTTGCCCAATGACGCCAAAAATACACTGCCTAGCTTTAAGAGACTAATCAATTATCTAATCTACTAATCGTTGCAGCTCTATGAAGATGTACTGATGTTTAAGTGAAGTCAGTGGTCGGTGCACAGTTCGAGTCAATGTAGGTTAGAGCTGAAAAGATCGGCCCGTTGCTCGATATGTCGATCAATAAAGATTGGGAGGATTTCCTCCACCAATCTCATAGCAAACAAAGTTAGAAGGCTGATCCAGTAATGCACGGATAATGAGGAGAATCTTTAAAAACCCCACGCTTCAAAGAATAGCTCGCAGCGTCTTGACTGAGCGTCCGTGCGTCGGGTTAACATATTTAAATTGATGGAGGATAGTTGCGAAAGCTCATTTCTTCAAGGAGTAAACTAGACGAGGAGTCGTTTTGATGGACGACAGTGAGGGGGGAGAGAATGAGGAAGGCAAAGTCGATGTAGCCTCCTGACCTTTTCTTTGTTTTTCAGATGAACAGCAAGCAGTGAGTGTGAGACGCTTTCTTCAGAGGATGCTCCTGGTCTGCGGGAATCAGTGTTGAGGGAGGTCCACAGAGCCGACGGGTGCCCACCATGTCTCACCTCCAGCACTACCAGCGAGGCCCTCACGGCCGCACCATGAGCTCCGAGGAGAGGAGCTATCCGCTAGTAAACAAGAGCGCCACGCCGGTTCACAAGAGCGTCTCCTCCTCTTCCTCCTCCCAGCGCGACAGTCGGCAGGTAATTGGAGTCTGCGTAGAGTTTTCTCGGAAATAGAAGCGCTTTGAATGAATGAGCCGTGGTAACATAGGGAGGAGTGAATGTTATTGTTTGGTTGCTCCGGTCTTCTTTCAGTGCCATCCTCTTGAGAGACTCGTGAGAGTTTATGCAAATAGAAGGGAACTCCCAGGAAATAGTAAAGCGTGAACTATGAATTCAGCAGTTTTAGTGTGTGAGGCAAAAACAGTTAAAACCATTATGTGATGACCTAGTCATTTTTAATAAATGCTGCCCCAAAATTTCCTCGGCAGATATTTAAAGTGTGCAGTTAATGTTTTCCTTGTAGGGTTGTCCTCGAATTACTTTGCCCGCTAAAGCTGAACAGACCCTTTATATTAATCTTGCAACAAATTTTAATCTGCTATATGACCTCAAACTGATCAATTCACCAGTCACAACGTGGACGCTCACACACACAACATTAACACGGTTTTGTCTGTTGACTCTTCCAAACAAGATGATGGCATTCCTCAAAGCAACTGACAGAAACAGAAAGGCAGCATTACCTCATGCAAATTATACGGTTGACTCAAAGCAGGGAAGATGCAAAAAATAACTTTTGAAGTTCAGCTTAATTTCCATCACAACTCAGTCTCAGTCAAGGCTACAGTAGCCACAGCAATGCTACTCCGGTCAATCGTTTCTCTGTTGTTCTCTGTTGTTCCCTCTGCAGATGAATTCAGCCGTGTTACTGACTAATGATTAATAGTTTATTCCCTCTGAAAAGCCCATTAGGAAAAAGACTTTATCAACCGATTAGATGACTAATCGGCCAAGTCAGAGCGGCCATAACTCCCTGGTTTGTAAGTAAAGACCTTGCAGCGGCGTGGTGAACAACGAGAGACACACTGTTGTTTCACAGTCTACAGGACAAGTGCTTAAAGTGAAGCCCCCCCCCCTCAGCCCTCTTCACCTCACCGAGCTGCTGTGCCACCGTGGCCGCACAGAAACCGGACACCGAAACCGGAATCTCTGACATCACGGCTTGTCCGTCGGCACACGATGATGAATACTTCATGAGGCTCGGTGCTCGGTGCTTTCTGAGTAGAAAAGGTGGTCGGTCCTGTTTGAAGCGCACAGTCGACGGGTGGTTAACCCGTTCATTGTTCCTTTCTTTCACATCAATACTTGCTTTTGATAACAAGGCCTTCATGGGGGAAAGTTTCTCAGTTATTTCATTTCCCCGGCGGCCCCGTTATGTAACAGCCAGCTAAATCTGAGAGCAGGGTTATCTAGCAGCACCTCTTCTCTCATTCATCTCTTTTAATATGTTTAATGAAGTCGGGTACTACCCGAAGAGGCAGCCGCTAAGAAGGAAATAAACTCTTTGTCAAGTAGATTCCCTTGAATTTTTGCACACCATCTTGATCAAGACCTCAAGATAGTCAGCGGCGTATTGAAAGAATCGGCGTCATATCGTGAATTTAAAATGAGTTCTTGATTGTTGCAGCTGTTTTGCGTTATGAGTGATGCAGCGATGTACCTGTGGGCGACCCAGACACTCGATCGATCTACAGAGGCAGGGACATGGTTCAAAAACAGTGACACTTCAAAATCCTCTTCGATTCAGCTGCCTCAGGGTTTTAGCTCACAACCATTATGAATATGTACAAGGAAAGAAGGCATATGTCTAAGTACATTTAAAGAGACACTGCTCTAAAGTCACAGTAAAATGGAAGAAAAGAAAAGGTTGTTATGTCTGCCTTTGCAACCACAATGTAAAGCTAATGATAGATTATTTTTATAGCTGACAAAACAACCTCAACACAAGGTCTTTTTAGTAGCTTTCAATCATATAACATGATTTTCATGACAAGTGAGCGAACCGTGTGACAGCTAGTGAATGGACCGTGTGGTTAGACTGAACTATCCCCATGATCCAGAATGGACTTTTATAAATTAAGTGAATATAAGGACGTCTCGTCTCCAGCATATTTAGTTGTTTCTGAGCTTAATTGACACGATGCTAAGTTATACCTGCACATTCTCTGTGTTTCCCTGCATAGCTTAGTGTGTCCTGTATATTGTATAGTGGGACCGGTGCTAAAGAGACGATGCAGTAAAATACATCTTCCCCAGAGACATCCTGAGCGAGCAGAGTAGACGCTGGGAAAAGACCTGAGCTTGCTTGGCTGGACCTCAGTTTTGAGGGGAAAATGAGGGCGGGGCATTTTGTTGAGGGGAAGCCTTAAATGAGGTCCAGGCCCCATTTTACAATCAATGCATGTCACCTTCCTCTCTGCTGATGACTATTGTTCACTCTGGAGGCCCTCATGAGAGCAATTAGAGGCACCACCTGCAGTAAGCACACACACACATCTATCTATCTATTTACACACACACACACACTCACGAATCAGGATGTCGCTGCAACTATCCATTTTTCCCGTTGCTCGTCATTTCCTGGTTCGATAACATGTTTTCGGCTTGGAGATAGTAGGAGGAACAGATGGAGTCACACGCTGCGTTTGTGGCTAATATTTAAAAAAGGTCCCTTTCATTTTTGAGAGTGGTAAAATCAATGATGATCAGTTGCTCTGTGGTCAGATAGCGGCTGTTTTTTATGTTAATGACGCAACAAAACCGATGTTGGTGTAGATGAAAGAATGATGGAGCACTTGGAGCAGCATGAAGCAGTATCTCCCCTGTCCTGTACGGATGTATTTCTTTATTTATTCTGTAGCAGGTTATCATGTTGTCTGATGGGCTGGTTTGACCTGTTTGATAATACGCTTTTCCTCGGCACACAGCGGACCAATTCATAAACAAAGGAGAGGATAGAGAGCAGAAACACAACCCCTTTATATATTGCTTAATGTGAGGAGAGTGAGGCTTATTGTCTGATGCCATGAATAAAGAGTCAGACTGAAAATACGACACGCCCCTTCTCATCATTTTAGAATCTTTTTTTATTGAACTTTGGTTGGGTTTTAAAGAAAATACATATTTTCCAAACATATTTACATTGAATGAGCCTCAGTGTCTCTCCTACGAGTCAGCAGATCACACATGTGGACCGTAGGCGTGTAACTGGATCTGTAGGCGTCTAAACGGAGAACGAGCGTCTCTCAGGGTGATAGCGTCTCGCCCATTGGGCCGCTCAGACACCGCAGTGAATTCCATCCTCACAATTATTCCTCTGTGCTTATTAGCTGCTGAAATATCGTTGTCGAGACGGGGTGGGAACATTTTACAGTTACTTGATCAAGGAGTACCGTATATTCTTACACAAGTACAACAAGAGACCACATACTTTGATCTGCAATTTGAATTATTTAGTATTTGGTATTTTGTAGAGAACACACAGGTACATAGTGATAGCTGTAATAGAGCTTTTAATTGAAAACATACACACAGACAAAAGTCTTAACTGTTAAGATTGAATGAAAGTATTAAGCAATTTTTGAGCGATTTATCTATTTAAACATTCACAGATTACCAGCCCCATCATCCACCTCCACATGTAACCTTTATTTGATCCGGTAATCTCATTTAGATGAAGTTCTGCTTTGCGAGGTAGAGTCTGTGTAGAGCGGAGAAGAAGAAAACATAACCAGTAGTAACAAAAGGACACATACATACAAACAATCATGACAAGAAAAACTACAGCACGTATACTGTACGTACCAAGAAGTTAGCCAGACAGAACACGAGCACACACAGCACCAAAGAGAATTACAGACGTCACTCAGTATAAAAAAATAGTTTCAGGAGCCATTGAAAAGTCATCAAGGGCTCTTTGAGGTTGTATACGTTACGTGTCTTGGGGAGTTGTTGCTGAAACTAGAGCTGCTCAGATTTCACACTCATTTAAATCTAAACTGCAGACTGGCGACTCTCTGCCAGCTACGGAAGCCATGATGGTCTTATTCCCTTTATTCTGTTAGCTCACGAGGCAACGAGACGACGTTAACGTAAGAACATGAAGCCGTTATCCTGAGATTCCTCACTAACAGAACCTGGCCTTTATCTCCTTTATTTTGGGTAATCAATGATTGTGTTAGGCCTTTAGATTCAGAACTCCCATGAAAGATGAAACATATTTTTTTGTTACTTTTATCACTCTTGTTGTTACATCATTATGTTTTATTGCACTCGACTACGCTCACGGTAAAGTAGGACATAAACTGAAGTGAACTGAAGCGATTGGAAAATCTTCTGATTGAACTTTGATGGTGTTTATGCAGCGCTTAAGAAAAGTTCGTCCTACAGTCACCGTGTCAGAAGCCAACGTGTGAGAGGCACTCGTCATCAGAAGTGGGCCGTCGTACGGATATTCAAAGTGCTGATTTCCCCAAAGAGTGTTTGTCCTTTCTCCTGCCTCAGGCAGACCATAACTGTGAGTCATTGCAACATTAAAAGGTCTACTCACACAGGATTGATTTAGTTGATGATTGGGATTATAAAAAGCATCTCAGTGTTCTGGCCTCTACTGTGACCGTGTTGTTTAACTGATACGACAAGAGAGAAACAACGGTTCAAAGTTCTCCAGTATCAAAGGAAGAAGCTCACAGAGCTTCTGACTCACGAGAGGGAGAGCGGCTCATTCAGCTTTAAATGGTTCTGCAGTAAGATGAATGAATGCGAGTGGGAGTGCAGGAAATCACTTCGACTTGATTCAGTTCTGTATTTCGGGTCAAATAACAAAGCAAATCCTCTGACTGTAGCAGTCATTTCCATATAAGAGGATAGTCGGCAAACACTTTGGTGTTTACGTGGAGCCAGAGGTTGAGTGGACTATTCCTCGTGAGGAATTTGTTGATTTCCAACCGTTTATGGTTCAGATCTTCAAACGATTCCCAGGAAAGTGCATTCAATTGCAATATTTGCAGTGCAAAGCCATTCTTTATTTAGTGCAGTGTTGATTCATCTATTTAGATCCAGTTGAAAGTCTGTTTGTACTGCCCCCAGCTAACACAGGAAGTTGGTCTGAAGCGTCGCCGTATCAATCATTTCACATTATACCGTCGAGCTGTTAAACTGATAATGACGTAATTGCTTCGAGCATAACAAGTAGACGGCTATGTTTTTATGACATGATTGCTTTGAACGGTGATGCTCGCTTTGCTGATGAAGTTGAGCTGCTCCACTTCCTCCTTCGCACAGAGCCACAGAAGGGGAGGGGCTCTCGTCAGCGCAGAAACATGACCTCATCAACAAACAGATCTGTTCGCCCGGCCATTAGATTAAACAAGCTGTTGTCTCCTTTTGTTAAATGTCCGGCGAGCCGAGGTCGGGTGTGGTAACACACACCCGACGAGCTGTCTCCGAGGCTGCAGTGAAGAGCCACAGGCTGTTATCGGGTTTTCCCGAAGATGCTTTTGCATGTTAAGTTGTGGGTTTTGCCATAAAGGTTATTAATAGCGTACTTAATCTGGTCTGCAACGGCCCAAAAACACACAATGTTTTTTACAACAGTCAGACGATTAGCTGCGTTGTGAGTCAAAGTTGGTGACTCTCACTTTGTTTTTTGGACCTATTGATGCTCCATTAAACACAAACTCCAAAATTACAAGTAGTGCCCTTTTTATTCTATCTCTCTCACTTGGTTGCAGATCTAAAGCTTGTTTAAAGCCACTAAAAAAATGTCTCTAAATGATCACATATGCAAAAGTTTTGGAGTAAAAAAAACACACAAAATTGTTATTTTTAGACTGTAAAATCAGCTAATTAGCGTCTCAACTGTCATCAGATTTTCATTAAAATGTTGCTGAATCCTGATTGGTGCACACAAGTGACATCACCTTTTTCTAATTGACTCCTGCCCACTTCAGCCAGTAGCAGTAGTAGTATAACTAATAATGTAGTCGCACACGGCAAAACGGATATGTTTAAGTTTTAATTAATGTAAAAAATCATAACTTCTCTCATGAAATGTTATATTATTACAACTGTGTTGTTTATTTGTTATCTTTCTGCTCACAAGAGGAGATGTAGTTGTTGACTAACACATTAATAAACAGTGATACCTACTTACCACTACATTACAGTGTTTTGTAAATCATTTATTACATGTTAATATACTGCTCATAAATGCTAAACAGGGGGAATTCAATGTATTATTTTGGGGTAAACAAAATGAAGCACGTTTGTTACAAATGTTGTGACTTGAGCACAAACTACCACCTGAACGACGCTCAACGGACGGTGTGTGATGTGTTACCTGTCCCTGCCTGACTTTGCTGTCCCTCTACTCCAGAGATGTCCCTTTGATTTACAGACCTACTGGAAGAGCACAGTCAGGAGAAAGCTAATGGAGTGGAAATGCTGAGAAAGCAGGAGGAATTTGAATGGGACCGTATTTCTTTAAATGTGTAGTACGGGGGAGGGGGGGGAGAATAAAGCAGCGTTAAAGTGTATTTTCATAATTTGTGCATGACTTGAGCATCTCTTCTTTTTACAAGAGGACCTGTATCTCCTGTTGTCTTCTTCTTCTTCTGGAGGAGTGAGTGGATTAGTTCTGACATCGCTTTCTTTTTTTATTCCTGTCTAGGAGGCAGACAGCTGGGAAATCATCGAGGGGCTGAAAATCGGCCAGAGCAACGTGCAGAGGCCTGATAAACACGAGGGTTTTATGTTGAAGAAGCGGAAATGGCCCCTGAAAGGCTGGCACAAGGTAAGATCTACAGACAAAGCGAGACACAAACGCTTTTGTTAGGAGGGGGGGGGGGGAGAGACACTTTTAAAATGAGCCGCTTCTTCGCTCCTTGAATGTTAAACAGTTTGCTGTCTAGTAAAGAAATATGCTAAGTTCCTCTTTTCATTCACCCTGCGTTACCCTCTCTGAGCCTCTTCCGCAAGCAGTTTTTCCTCTGACGTCACCGCCTTCAGCATCAGCTTAGCTGTTGTTTTCTCCAAACACAGGATTTAAAGTGGAGACTAGTCCCTGATGCCGTCATGTTTGAACTCACAACACCACAGAACACGGCTAATTATGAGAGAATAAATGGTAGACGACCTGAATCCACAATACAGCCAGGTCCAATGTGATAATATGCATTCAGCGTCTGCCCTTCCTGTTATTCGACCAACACATTATTTCTGTGCTTATATTCTCCTCAGCGTTTTTTTGTCCTGGACAATGGTATCCTGAAGTACTCCAAGTCCCCCATTGATGTAAGTAACCCTGACTGTAACCCACGGGCAGAAACCGGGCGGCCCGGCCTGACATCAGCTGGGCTTGACAATGAGTCAGCAGAAACATCTGCAACACTAAAAAAATAAATCGGACAAAGTGGAAAAGTAACACACGACTGTGGAGAGCCCAAAGAATCGTGCACACGGTGGATCACTTGTCCTCACGCTTCTCATAAAAAGTGATTATTGAATGTTAAATACAGCTCCTTTAAAGTGAATACAAGTGATCAACGGTTTGGAGGTTTCTTTGGCGTCTTCAGACTTTCGTGTGAAAGAAGTTTGTTGTAAATCTAATTACAGATAAAACAGACTTTGTGCACAAATGATTTGACGAACTGTAAACCTCGAGTAAACTTGTGCTTTTAGTAGACTCATGTGTTGATCACTTACCTTAGATCCAAAAGGGCAAACTTCACGGTAGCATCGACGTTGGCCTCTCAGTCATGTCCATCAAGAAGAGAGCCCGTCGCATCGACCTGGACACTGAGGAGCATATCTATCACCTGAAGGTAACGCTGATGGGACGAGTCAATATTGTCATTTCAGCAGCGATAAACAGGACAGGAGGTCAGCGGAGGACAGAGTTGAAAGCTGTCTTCCCCTTTAGGTCAAATCTCAAGACATCTTTGACGCCTGGGTGTCCAAGTTGCGTCATCACCGGCTTTACCGACAGAACGAGATCGTGCGATCTCCCCGGGAGGCCACCATGCGGACGTTTCCCCCGCCGGCTGCCAAGGAGTCCCCCCAACCTGCCCCGAGTGTGGTATGTGAAGCCAAGGTAAGCCCTCCCACCAGTTAATCGTTCAATTATTTTCTCCTTTAATCAATAAATCCTCTGGTTTATAAAGCGTAAGAAAAAAAAAAAAGGGAAAATATCTATCGCAGGTTCCCAGAGCCCAAGAAGACATCTTCAACTGTTCTTGTCTGTTTTCATTGGGAACTGGGATAGTTTACCAAAATCTCATCCAGAAGAGAGGAAGTAAAACTCACTGAACGTTCAGAGTAACGACGGAAAATCTTAACGTTCAGACAAGACTGAGTCTGTCTCTGTCGGGATCACCCACCTGATAACTTTATAGTGAGCACTGTTGCCTTTGTGTGTGCAGTGTACGGTTGTTTGTCCACACTCAGTGTAGCGGTCCCCGGTCGTCGTCTTGTCTGGACTGTGTGTTTCTGTGAGGATGCAGGTTCTCCTGGAGTGTGGCTCTCATGCGGGCCATTAGAGGTGATCAGCAGGATCTGGATTCAGAGCAGCTGGCTGAAGCCCGATGAGCTCTCCCAGAAGAACAGCTTAAGCACGAGTCTCTAATCCTGGAGTCAGAATTAACTGCTCCATGAAAGAGCTTTGGAGGGAGGACCATCATATGTTGGTTGGTTACCAACGATTAGTGTTAATGTGAATGTTCTTTAGGACTGCAAGCTATAGCGCAGCGCACACTGTTTTATGTTTTTATCTAAAGCTGTCCCCCAACAAGTACAAGGAGACGTTGTTTGGTGACAGGTGGTGTAATATTTTCCATCAGGTTGTTACTGATAGAAAGATATTGATTTGGTGAAACACAACTGCGTTTGCACTGCAATGTGTTTTTAAAACATGAGACACTACTTTCGCTAAAAAAGGAAAGTTGAAATGATTGGCTATGATGAGCCCTGGTAAGCGGACGTCTCCTCCCTCTCCTCAACTTAACGTAGGTTGGCTCCGGTACTTAAACAAACAGCACTACACACCTGGTAGTCAGCTGTTTGGCCGCTTATGGAATTGTTGGTCAGAAAAGTGAACTGCTCTCTTGCTGCTTACGAGGCCAAACAAGGAATTCAAAGATATCAATTTGAGGAGTTTCGAGTTTCTGCCATCTTTTACACCAGATGTTTTCACACTCCCGAATCCAGAATATTCCTTCTATCAGAATGTCAGTACCACTTGAACTGAAGTATGTTCAAAACCCGTTGAACCGGTAACAAGTTTAGAGCACAGTACAGTAAACTCTGACATGAAGTCACGGACTAATCATTCTGTCTGTTCCCCCGTCACCCCTCAGCAGGCCAAGCCGAGCAGTTTGCCGTGGCAGCCGGTGGCCCCGAGTAGCAACAGCAGCCTGCCCGCCTCCTACAGTAACGGCCAGAGCAAGGTGGTCGCTTGGCTGCAGGAATCCGAGGAGATGGACAAGTGCGCAGAGGGTGAGTGCAATTTTCTTCCTCATGCTGGGAACAAATCTGATTTCATAAAGAAGTTACTGTAAGTCTTTTAAAACCCTGAGAGAAGGATTGATCCCTATTTCATGACACATAACACTGAGTGTGTGTGTGTGTGTGTGTGTGTGTGTGTGGGTGTGAATTATATTTTCAGAGCTTGCACGATGTCAGTCCAATCTGACTGACCTGAGCCGGCTATTGCAGAGTTTGGAGATTCTACAAAGGACACAGTCAGCGCCCAACTTCACAGAAATGCAGGTAAATAAAGTTACACAGAAACACACACACACACACACAAAGTGGCCTTTTTTCCAGGGAAGTCACCTTGACTACCTGTCTAGACAGACAGGATTAAGCTTTGCTCACAGAACACCTGACTGATCTGTATCTTTTGAATTTTTTTGTATTATAGTTTTTGGCTGAAATGCATTATTGTGTTTTTAACACCGCACCTTCCATCTACCTCAACATTTTGTTTGCGACTCAACGTGGTCTGGTTTTGCCATTTTCACTGCGATTCTTTTGCTTTATTTGTGATGTGTTTTTTCTATTAACCACATTTTTTTTTGCATATTTTGATCCATGTGTGTCACAAAGACCAATTGTGTAGAATTATCAAAGAAAGAAAAGCGCTTGAACAGAAGATGGAGAACAAAAAGTGTCGGCAAAGATCCAAAATTCCAGCTTCAGGTACCTAAGTCACACACACACACACACAGCACAGATACCGTATATACACATACTATCTATATATATATAGATAGATAGTGACTATAACAACATGTATTGTAGGAATGTATATAACTTGATTTCTTTGTTGGATTTCTGTTTTAATAAACGCAATGGTTCGCCCTCTTCACTGTCCAGTCAGTTTCTTCTCATCGAAGTGTTCTGGGTGAATTTAAGTTCCTCTGATAAGCAGTAATTCAGTGTAAAAGTCTCGAGCTTTTATTGTGAAAGGTCAGAACGGAAGGAGTAAAGCGCTACACGCAACCGTTGTCAATGTGGGGGCAATAAGCAAATAAATAAATACAAATAAATAAATAAATACAACGTATTTTGTGGCCGTTTGTGTTGTGATGCACTGCTCTGCTCACATTGAGTATATTATCTTCCGGATGGATTTGGATTATGGATTTGCTCTCTCTTCTCTCGTCCATTTGCCATTTTTGCTTCAGCGCAATGCGTGATGGTGTTTAGTGCTCGTTTGGGGCAATATGTTTTGCACATAAAGTACAGTAACCTTTAAATATAAAATGTTTGGTAGAGGCCAGAGAGACACTGACGTAACTGATCACAGTCACAGGTCTGATTCCTGCATGAGCCCGTATGTCCAGTTAGAGTGTTAATAACACTAAAGTCAAATATACTCTCAATGCTCTGATCTTTTTTGTTCTTTAATCGGTCTGCACTGCAACCGGCACTCATTGATGTGATCTTTATGGCCTGAGTGGGTATTTATTCCATCTCTGCTAATTCTGCCTTATTTTGCCTAATATATTCATCTGTACTTTTCTATAAAAGCCAAAATGTGCTTTCACACACTGTTGCTTTTCTTTTTAACCACCCAACGTCAAGACATCTTCCTCTCATGAATAGGTTTGCTATCACGTGATCTAAAAGCTCCTCTATAGTGTTCGTCCGTAGAGATTTCTAGATGTAGTAAGTCAAAGACAGCAGGATGTGTTGTTCATTCCTCATTGGACCACGGTTCTTGTTCTGTCAGACAAACAGCACATTATTGTGCCCCTCGGCTGACTGACGGTGGTCCTCTGTGGTCCTCATCTCTCTCCAGGTCCCTCTGTCTGCCAGCATGTCCCCCGTCCGTCTCCACTCATCCAACCCCAACCTGTGTGCCGAGCTGGTGGACTTTCAACCCCCCGTCTCCCGGCTGACAGACAGCGTCGAGTGTGCCAGTGACTACATTAAGCTTCAGGAGGAATTCTGCACAATTGCCCAGAAAGGTGGGAAGGCTGCATGCACGGCTACAGGGTTGTACGGCGAGAAGTGTCCAACTGTTTTTCAATACATCTGTAAATATTAGAGGATTATTCTGCTTTCTTACAACCTAGATCACATTTTCATGCAGTAGTTTTGCCAGTTGTTTCTGTTGCTTATGATGTCATTCTACTTATGAAGTTAATTTCTGAGATCTTTGAACAATAATAAGTCAGAGAGGAAAGAAACAATCACACAATTAGCTTAAAGCTAACTCTGGCACATGGAAGAAGCTGTGCACTGTACCTAACAAATATATAGTTGTGTGGAAACAAAGTTTTTCTGTGCAGTGATTATCAGCTAAATTACGGATACGTTTATTATCAGATTGTATGTGATACTGATTCAGTGCGATCCTGTCTCTGTGCAGTCCACTCCCTGCTGAAGTCGGCCTTCAACACAGTCGCCATAGAGAAGGAAAAGATCAAACAGATTCTGTCTGACCAGGAGCAGTCGGACCAATCAGCCCAGATCAACTCTCTCAGGAAGTCTCTGTCACAGGTAAATGGGCCGTCTTCAACCATTACCCATGATGCCTCTCTCTTTCTACTATTAGTTAGGGTAAGTTAATGTGAACCGTTTGTCACACATATTTGGCTTCTTCACATTGGTAACGCCCGGTGTGACGCTGTGTTAGCGTGTAATCGCCCAGAGTGATCGGGACATTACTGGGGAGATAACTGCAATAATCTGAGCCGCGTGTCTTTAAGACGAACCCATTCTGTAGTCGTCATGTTATGAGATACTCTCACGACGGCGGCATGTCAGATGAAAGAGTTTATTCCAAGCCGTCGCTGTAATCACAATAGAAAAAGATGAGGTGTGGAGATGAGAGCACAAGCAAGTGAACGGGGGAAAGTTCAATCATCTTTTCCCGTATTAATTGAGAGAGAGAAATGTGCCATGCAGTTCATTAACTCGGCTCCTCGGGGGCCGTCTCTCTACCCGGTGATTTAATTGGACTGTTCCTCTGCCAACAGTCGACATCATTTCAGTTTCCTCTGCTTTATCTCCGCTTTGTTCCTAATTGGATCGTTGTGTGACATTGTTGTTGTAGGCCGGAGGTGAGGTTTCTGTGGCAAAGCTCTGTGGGAAGTTGATGATTAGGATTTATGGTCGTTACAGCTGCAGCTGCTGATGACAACTGTTAATTTAGTCTTTTTGATGTTTTATTTCACGTGTACACATGTACTAAAAGTGGCTATATGTGTATATTTAAAATCATATAACTACTTGCATGTGAAAAGGGGGGTTTGTGTCGATGAACCCACAGAGAATGATCGGCTCATTCTGCAGCTCCTCTCAGCTTTGAAGCATGTTTCAACTCATTGTTTTGGTGTTTGTTATATATAGGAATAAGAATAGCTTCAGATATTTCTTTAGTCTATCTTGATACAATATTCACATGTCCGTATGCATGTTTAGAGAGTTATTTTTCCACTGTCAGCATTCCTCCTGTTAAAACTGTCCGTGATTTGTAGGTAACCTGTGAAGACTGCAGGCTTTTGCCCGCCATCTTTGCTTTAGTAAGCGATCGCGTCACTTCCAGTACGGAGAGGAGGAATGTCAGCAACTTTATCATGTGACAGAATTGAGATATGAAGAAGAAGAAGATCCAAACCAATCCTTTCAAAGTACCCACATCCAGTGCATCAGACACTAGATCTTCCCTCCACCCAGTATCAGAAAAACAGCAAAGCAAGCGGAAAATAAACCACACGTTTATTATATTTACTTTTATTATTATTCAGGCCCTGTCCCAAAATGCAGAACTTCGAACCCGACTCAACCGCATCCACTCTGAATCTGTCCTGAATGAACAAGTTGTCAGTGTGAACATCATCTCCACGCCTGATGAGGTAGGTCTCTGTGGTCAATCTGTCGCTGACAGAGCACATATCTGACTCTTACGTTGTTAAAACAATGAGGCTCCCAAGGCGGACCGGGTAGTTGGGAGTGTTTGCATCATGCATTCATCAGTCGCATTATTGATTCCTGTGCTTATAGATTGATGGTTCTTCCAGTACACCCTGGCAGCTAAGCTTTAAGGATCCATTATTCTATGCAGAACCTGACGTTAAGTTTAATGGAAGAACAGAAAAAAAAGACGAATTAGAAATGGACGGGAGCTCGCCCTCTGCCGAGGATACACATGCTGCGAAATGAACCCTGTGTCGTCTTCTGACGGTTGTTTGTGTTTGTGCTCGAGTCTGTTTCGGTTCTTAAACCTGTCATCATAGCGAGGCACAGTGCACATCTCGTGTGTTTGCTTGTGTGTTTCTCCTGCAGGCTGGAGAACAGATGGGGATCCCTCTGACTCAGCAGGCCTCTAATGAGAGCCGACTCTCCATGTCGGAGTCCGTCTCCGAGTTCTTTGATGCCCAGGAAGTGCTTCTGTCAGCCAGCTCGTCGGAGAATGAGGTATGAGGGAGTTGAGATGGTTGAGTGTTTTTAAGAAAGAACGGCAGTTTGGACCATGAGGGGCGGTTTGTAGAGGAAGGAAGGGGGTTGGATTAGCCCTGCTGCTGGGAAGCCAGATAAAACATCACCGCGATGGCAGTGTGCGGAGCTGGAGTTAGTCAGCATTTACTGAAGGCAGCATGAAAAGCAGACATAGCATATAACGGAAACTCAGATTATAGCCAGGCATACAAGAGGACATCGTTTCAATCTGTCCCAAGGCTTCATCCCTCAGTTGCGCCATAACAGTCTGTTCCTCTTCATTTGTATCAACCCCCCCACCCACATCATCCAGCTCCAACAGCGGGCCCATTCAGACCTGTGTTACACTGTCGGTCAAACCATCACCAGCAGCAGGCGACTGTAACAGGGGCAGCAATATGCTCCTCTTTGGCAGCGTCAATGGCCTCATTGTGTTCGCTTCATATAAAGTATGAAAATGCCGCAGCGCCTCATCTTGTGATTACTGCAGCGGGACAGATAGCCGGACGACTGCTGCAGTTTGTTAGCCGCTGGCAAACCGCTACTCACGGTGTGATCAGAGTCTGTGTTGTACTCTACTGCGCTGACTCACTCCTCTTTGTACCTGTCCGTCCCCCCCACCCCCCCTCTCGCAGGGCTCAGACGATGAGTCATACGTCAGCGATGTGAGCGATAACATTTCAGAGGACAACGCCAGTGTGACTGATAACGTCTCCAGACAAAGTAGGTCCAATCCTGCACCACCATGAGCACCGAGCCGCCGTCCATTCCCTGTTAGACATTAATGAAGGGGGGGACCCCATTGGCTGGATCAACCGTGTTTTCCTTTCCAACATCCACACACACACACACAGACACATCTGGCAGGATCGTTCATCAGTGTGGCGGAGGCAGTTGACTTTGCAGGGTTGCTCTGTGCCAAAGGCTTCTCTTAGACTTTAAGAAATCTATCTTTGTGACAAAGGGACGGGATCTCATCATCTTTGTCACGTAGCACACAGCAGTATATAGTATCTATATTGGTCATATTAGAGTTATTTAGATGTATAGAAATGGAAAAAACATGTTCTACACATTTCTATGTAGACCGTCTGTCATTTTAACACATTTGATGTTGTGAAGCCTACAGCAGTAGAGTGATGTGTCCCAGTTAGTTGACAGCAAATCCAATCAATAAACACTACATCCAGGTCCGGCGTCTAACCAGAAATAAAGTGGCGCGACCACATCACACATGTTTTAGCCTACACTCACACACAGTATGTTTTAGGTCTTATTCATCACTTTTAAGGCTCCTATATTTCTGTCCTTTTCATCCCAGACCAGCCTGTACAAGGCTTTTCCAGACACTGTAGCACACCAGGCTCCTAACCAGAGGGCTCAGTCCAGAGCTTATGAACGTCTACTCGTGGGAATGAGGCTGACTTTTAAATCTCTTCTTAAAACATAGATGTATTGCAGAGCTCAATCTCATTTTACTTGGATTATATCTTTGTTTCTTTTATCTGGTATTACTTCTATTGGTTTACCTACTTTATTCTGGTCCAGTCAATGTCTGTTGTCTAAATCACCAATTTATAATCTCTTGATCTGATGATTGTTTCTCTTCTTCTTCTTCTTCATCCCAGTGGCCAACGGCGACTTCGCTGGCAGTGCCTTCCGTAACGGCCGGCGAAGCTGCCTGTCGGCGCCGTGTCCCGACACCAGCAACATTAACCTCTGGAACATCTTGAGGAACAACATCGGCAAGGACTTGTCCAAAGTGTCCATGCCTGTGGAGCTCAACGAGCCGCTCAACACCTTGCAGCGCATGTGTGAAGAGCTGGAGTACAGCGAGCTGCTGGACAAAGCTGCTGAGACCGAGGATCCTTTTGAACGCATGGTAAAGAAATCCAATGTTCATCACGTCAGCTGTAAGGACGGGGTGACCCTTCATCGCTGTTTGCTTTGGTTTTAAATCCCTGCCGTGTTTTGTGTCTCTCACACCCGTATTTGTTTATATATGAGGTGCCAATCACAACCGACACAAAGTCTCACGTCTGTGAGGTGGCGATATGCTCCGCTGCAGCTGTCGACCTTGGATCCTCCTATTTTTATCTGTCTTCTGTCCTTTTGATCGTGGCCACTGCATGCTAATGTTTGGCTTATTCGTGCAAAGCCTTTTAATAGGAAGCGATTAATCCCCTCTTGTTGATGTTGGCCGTGTTGTCTTGATTCTCTCACAGGTTGTCGTCGCTGCTTTCGCCGTCTCGGGCTACTCGTCCACTTACTACAGAGCAGGAAGTAAGCCATTCAACCCGCTGCTCGGAGAGAGTTATGAATGTATTCGGGAAGACAAGGGCTTCTGTTTCTTCTCTGAACAGGTGTGTTCCACATTTTTTAAGACGTACTATACTATGAATGTTTGGACATTTTATGACTTTTTACACTTAGACGCAACAATGAACTGATTAGAATTTGGTGGTCTTCACAAAACACATTTTTGGGTATAACTCAAAAATTAACATTAACATTTTAACAGTTTCACACTAATGATGAAGTGATGAGTTTTGGTCAGACAGATGTAAAGGACAGATGTAAAAAACTGCCACTTGACTGCTTGGCGGAGGCGTACAACCGCGAGGCGGTAATTCTAGTTTGATCTTGTGTCCCAGGTGAGCCACCATCCTCCCATCTCTGCCTGCCACTGTGAGTCCAAGAACTTCACCTTCTGGCAAGGTAGGTTAGTGAGGGGTGGCTTTAGAGATGAGCTCCAGTCTCATTAAGACTTTTTTTTCATTTCCAGCTGAATTTGTACTGATTAAAATAGCTTTTTATTTCTTACATTTTGAAAAGAAATGCAAAGATTTGAGTAGTGTATACATTGTATTTTATTCCTTGTGTTTTTCACCGATTTGCTTTTCAGATGTGAGATGGAAAAACAAGTTCTGGGGGAAATCGATGGAGATCTTACCAATCGGGAGTGTGAATCTCATGATTCCCAGGTATCCTCGATGCAGCAGCTTTGAGTGATGTTTAAAACCAAATCCACACATTTCATCTCTACAATCAAGGCTGTTGTTGTATATTCATAGGTTTGGAGATCATTATGAATGGAACAAAGTCACCACCTGTGTGCACAACATCCTCAGTGGACAGCGGTGGATCGAACACTACGGGGAGATCACCATCAGAAACACGAAGAGCAGCGCTTGTCTCTGCAAGCTTACTTTCGTCAAGGTGAAACCGCTTCAGCAGTCAGTGTGAAGACGTGATGGAGATGCACTGCATTGTGGTACAGGGCAGCTACCAACGTGATGTTTGTCTTCCAGGGAAACTACTGGAGTTCTAATGTGAATGAGGTTCAAGGATTTGTGATGGATCAAGAAGGGAAAGTGATCCACAGGCTTTTTGGAAAATGGCACGAGGGCCTTTACTGTGGTGTCCCACCCTCTGCTAAATGCATCTGGAGGCCAGGTAGGCACTGGTTCACCGGATGTCCCCCTCTGACTGGTGTTACTGGTCACTTAAGGTCACTTAACAATATATTTTGTTCCTTGACACATTTCAGTGGATGGGGTAGGAGAGTTAACAAATATTACAGTTGATTTTTAAGATGTTTGTTTACGTTCTTTCCTCTCCTTGTCAGGCTCCATGCCGACAGATTACGAGCTGTACTACGGCTTCACCAGGTTTGCCATTGAATTGAATGAACTTTGCCCCGAGTTGAAAGATGTTCTGCCCCGAACAGACGCCCGATTCAGGCCTGATCAAAGGTACAGCATCACATCCTCCGCTGCCAGTACGCTGCGGCCACCGAATGCAAAATAAAGTGTCACTGAATTCACAAAAAGAAGATTAATCTGAGGAATTAATCTTGTAATAATGTTTTTGTTTTTGTGTAAATGCAATATGTTGTCTCTGTTCTTTGTATGACCGTCTGATTTCTGTTCACTGAAAAGTTGTTTTTGGGTCACGCAGGCATCTGGAGGAGGGGAGCTTGGAGATGGCGTCCTCAGAAAAGCAGCGCATTGAGGACATGCAGAGAGTCCGGAGAAAGTGGAACGAGGAGAACGACATCAAACTGGAGCCACGCTTCTTCAAGTAAGCACAGTAACCACATGCATACAACTCACAGACAGAAACATGTATCTGCATGTATGTATATATATGTGTATGTATATCTTAATAAAATAAGAAATATTCTCCTCGTCACTTTCAGTTGCAACTGTCACTTCTCCATCTTTTTCTTGCAGAAAAGTGGTTTATGCCAATCACAAGGAGAGGTGGGTCTCCAACAACACGTACTGGGAGCTTCGCAAAAACCCCGGCTTCATCAATATGGAATCTACAATGAACCTGTGGTAGCACACGGATTGTCATGTCCATCATATCTTCATCGCAGACAAAGACGGCTGTCGCCGATGCACAAGAAGGTGTTAAGAGAAACACGTTACGATGAAACATCCGTGTGCAGGGATGCAGAGCCGGTTACAGAGCTAAGGGATGGCCTGAGGCCCGGTGAGCCTGTCGAGGTTCTGTGGCACTGCCACATGGTCGTCCATCCATGGAAACATCCCGTAGGATCACCTTCTTTGTGCTTGTGGAAGCTCGTACCACTCCTATGTAGATCTTTCCTCAGCTCCTTCGACTTCCGAGTATGTCCTTGCCTTAAAAAGACACCCGTACAAGCCACATGATTTAACGCTTTTTTTCCATTGAAGCCATTTGATTTGAAGACGGTTTTGGGTTAGACTAGGCTATGAAGTAGACCTTTCGATTACCTACGATACCTATTTGCATGTTTAGAGAGCAGCTTTCACTGGCATTTAGCCACATTTACTATATCATCAATCATTGTAGAAAAAAAGGTGTTTTTATAAAATATCTTGGACTCAGAATTTAGTGAAAAAGCATTATGTGAATTGGCAGATTTGATTTATTTTTGCCTTTTTAATACTGTTGAATTTGTGTGATGGTAGTACTCTCTCTCGGGAAACAACTAAATTAATCTCAGCTGCAGCGGAGTCCGTATGGCGACCACAGGTGTAAATCCTATTGCAGTGTTTTGGACATGTGATGCAGGAGACACCTACAACCTTCACCCAATGTTTTCTTTCTGAAATGCTCAACACAGTTGTGTTTCAGCTCACAGTGGAGAGTCTGTGTAAATAGAGCGGTGCCGTACTCCACTGTCTAATTTCAAACATGAAACCACATCCTCTGAATCACATGGTTACACGAACACACACATAACTCCCTCCTTATATAGTAGGCACGCCATATATAATGCACTCTCAAACATAAAACACTTCTCTGAGTGAAAGGTCTGAGAGAAGATGATGGAGCAGGTTGTACAGACTGTAAAGCTCTCAGACACACTTGTGATTCTGGGCTTTATATATCAACTTGATATATATACGAGGAAAACACTCATCTACACAAGCTGCAAATCACCATCACAGTTTACCAAAGCATTATCTTAAATGTACATTCTTGTTCTGACTCACAACCAAAAATTAAAAATGGGATGAAACAAAGAAAACAACTATTACCAGCAGCTGTTTGGTATTTTTCTTTATTAATCAATCTAAAATAAGGAATACATTTTCTTTTGATGAATTATTAATTATGTCAGAACTCCCAAAACTCATTCAGTCAAAAGTAAACAGTCGCTCCAAAATAGAAACACCAGAGCCACCTACAGGTCGCGCCATGAAAATGCCATATCAGTAGTCTGTCGGTCAAAAACAACTATATTTCCAAACAAGTTCATACGGTACCAATTTTACAGTTCAAGAATAAAAATGTGTGTGATTTCCCCGGAGACTGTACTGCTGCATTCTGGGCTTCTGCACAGCACCAGTTACCTATTTGCAGTGTTGTGTATTTATTGCAAAGCAGATTAGCTTAAACGTGTTAATATTGTCCCCCTTTTTTGCGTTACAGAGTTAGAAAATATCAGTGAAATCACAAACACGGAGTCACACGTTGTCCACACTTTGTGTACGAGCATATCTGAGTGGATTCCCCTCGGACAGGACCGCGGGGGTGAGGGACTATAAATACGTAGAATGAAAACTATGTGGAGCAAATCCATCTCGTGTGCACTGTTCATATGGTACTGTAGATTACAAACCAAAAAAAGGTAGAACTGCTTTGCATCCATATCCCTTTTAATTTTATCCCCGATCACAAACTCAATGCTAGAACTTGTCAGTGTCAGTTTCACTTGCTGTGCCTTAATGCATTTATTAATGCCTCACAAACACACTACTGATGAGAATCCCCATGCAAAGAAGGTATGCCATTAATAAACTCCGGACATTATGCGGTCTCCAGCTCCCTGCAGAGGACACATTGTACGCGTTGATGGTTTCTCTGCAGACAAAGTGTCTCCTCTACGGTCTTAAAGGGAGACGTCTTTGATGGGATTTGACTGTAAAATGCTTGCAGACAGTCTGCACTGCTCTGCTACACCAACATGTAACCAAAACATTTTGGTTATCACTGTAAATACGGCACATTTAGAAGATGGGTCGCTAATTAAAAAGCGGATTCCTTTTCCCTCTTACATCAGTGATTTTGCTTTTTTTTTTTTTACGAGACTGAACCACAGCAGGTGTGTGAAGAGGTAACAGCAATGCTTTGCGTAGGTTTTGGTATCAAAGAGTGACTGAAACGAAAAAAATACTCATGAAAACCTCTTCATGCTTTCTTCATCCACTGTTGCACCTGCATGTCTAGACTACTTAGCCTGCCAATGAATATTGCAGATGCCTTACCAAAAAAATATTGAAAAAAATGTTTTTTCTTTTTGTTCAATTGGACTTTTTGTTTTTGCTTTGGACTGACATGTATCCCAAAGCACCGTGTCAGCGCTTTCAAATCTATTTCCTGATGGGTACCTTCTAAAGTGCAATTTTAACAAAGTACATATCTTTCCATGAACACTGTACACTGCTGCTACATAGTGCTTGTTCTAATAAAACTGTAAAACTCAACTGAGGAGTGTGAGGTTTATTTGAAACAGATTATTGTTGCAGGTTTAATGTTGGCTTAAGCAGCGCAGCCAACACCGTCAGAGGTTTACTTAATTTCTGACTGACTTCGATAAGAGTCATCTGCATTATTTCTATTTGTGTAGAAACAAGTCAAATGTAATTATGCTGAGGATAAATGCATATTGTTTATTACAATGTAGACCACAAATACCAGCTTGTTGTCAATTTAAACAAAAGTATCGTAATTTAAATCACAATATTAGTCAGACGAATGTCCTTCCTCAAATACACAAATAGTGCTTGGCTCTATAAATACTAGATGAACGATTGACGTGTGCCTTCTTGTCTCTTAGTTATCAAACCACACAAATCAAGAGTGAATGATTACAGCAGTGCACAGGCCCTCAACTAATTGCCTTTGAACCGATACAGCGAAACACGCAGCCTCATAAATTGCTGGCGAGAGACGTTCCATTCAATAACAACGCACACGGCACCGCAGCAATCTGTCCTCTCAACGCCGTCTATCTGTACGATCACTCACAGAAACAGACACTTGTTGACATTTAGTGTTTATTTTCTGGATTCATACACATGTTGTTGTTGCTGCTGCTGCTGCTGCTGCTGCTGCTGCTCTCCACCAGGGATGCATTCCTAGAGCAGTCCCTACACGTATTACATACATCACACGGTATTATGAGGCACAGGAGGATGAGAATATGAATCTACTTCTTTTATCTATTTTGAGTGCCAACCAGATACAGACGGCAGATTGCATACCGACTGATGGAAGAATGGAAATGGGGGGGTTAACTAATTCGACCTGCAGATGAAAATGCAGAACATCCTTTCAAATATAAGACAAAAACATTTCTTTTACAATTCACTTTCATTTTTAGAGTTTAACAGAAAGGCAGGTATCTCTGAAGCAAATTATAAGTTTAAGATCTTCTATTGGCTCAATATAATGCTACAGGGGGGAACTCTGGGGAAATAAATGCATTAAGAGAACTTGAACTTAAAAAACATCTGCATCCTGGCCAGAAAGGAGGGAAAGGTCCCGTTAAAGCAAGACAACAAATGTGCATAAATACAACATAAACTTATTATGTGAAAATGTGGAAGTGCTTCGTATTATTCACTGCTGCTACCTCATTTACACATGTGCATTTGCTTAAACATAGTATGTTGGACACTCAAGTAAAAAATGATGGTATTCTAACAACATTTCCTTCATATTGGATTCTTGATGTTGAGAAGGTTTATCACAAATACTGCTCTAAAGTTGCCTGATTCCAGTCAGTGTACGGAGAGTTATTATGCATCGCGACCTGCTTTGCGACACACATACTTATATATATATAAAAATATACCATGACCTTATAGCGTCCAGTGGCAGGAAGACGAGTACAATCTACAGCCTCGTCATCACTGGACATCAGCTGGTAACGGTGACGGAACGGGGTGAAGGGGGGGGGGGGGTTGACGGGTGGATGTTGACGGGTGGAGGTTTTACTTGGTGGAGGCCATGATCTTGATGTACTGGAGGGCGCTGTGTGCCGCGTCGTTGTGAGCGTTGCTACAGGAAATGCCGGTGCCGTGGCACACAGTGACCGGGGAGGTGGACAGCTCCGCCAGGCACTGGTACTGGCCGTTCACCGTCAGCTCATCTGCAAAGTACAACAAGAAACTTTCAAAAAAATACATAAATATAATAAAAAGGGATTTCTTTGTGGGCTTTCCATTCAGCTAATTACACTTCGATCCACATCTGCCATCATTGACGATGCTCCAAACCACATTTTTGATACAGTTTGTGGTCAGAATACCCATTAAATGTATTTATAGTCAGTAATTATCCGTGTTCCGTCAGTGATAAACAGATTTTAACTGTCTACTGTTTGTTTTTCTATCGATAGATCTATTATCAGCGGTGTGTGTTTTCTCACCGATGTCGAAGTACGTGACCTCGAAGCCCTGCTCCTTGGACAGCTCCAACATCATCTGAATATAATCTGTGTTGGGAATGCTCAGTGGGTTTCTTCTCAGTGAAGACATATTCTCCGCCGACGAGTTCCTTAAGTTCTCAAATCGGACGCTTGGTTTCGGCGTCTGAATGATGAAATGTAACACACACACAAAGAATGTACACACGATTGAAAGACACTTAGCTTTAAGAGAACGTGTATTAAGACATGTTGTCACTTCAGAAGGGTGGGAACTAGTTGACGTACCCATGTGATTTCAGAACAGCCGGACAGACTCTGAAGTTTGGACACCATTTTCTCCGCAGCTGCCTTTTTCGCTCCCTTTTTTGAATTTCCGACAGCTGTCGAAACATAAGACAAGAGATGAAGAGCAGGAGGAACAACAACAACAAAATGGCCGTCACTTCAATAGATTTGACACAAATGTCTCAAAAGCACCCGCACCCTTCTCCGACAGGGACTCCATTCTACAAGTAACCGTGAACTCTCTCTTGTGTGGCGGACCAGCCTCCATTAAAACTGTGTATTCAGGAAGACGCCATCCTCTCTGCAACGCCAACTCCTGGGAGGAGAAATAAGAGTGACTGAATAATTATCGTGCACATAATAAAAGACATTTTGCTGCAAGACACTTTCCATCGCAGGTAAGTCAATAAACACACCAGACTTTCCCTACTTATGTCACTACTCTTTAATCTGAAAATCCTCAAATACATAAACACAAAGATTTGCTAATATACCATCACAGACACACACACACACACACGCACATGATTAACACACCTGCAGTATCCCCACTGAGTTGGGATGGTTGTTTGTTTCTGCTACAACACCGTTACTCTCAGACTTCACGGGAACGTTCCTGTTGAGAATCACATCACAGCAGTTACCAACCACAGCTACACAGCTAATAACAGACTCAACTTATTGCTGCACCGAATGATTATTTTCATTATCAACTAATCTGCGGATTACTTTCTCCATTTATCATCTCAGAAAGTTGTGGGAAATGCCATCACAACTCAAGCAGATACATTTAGATTAAACGTCTAACTGCCAAATAAATTCAGTTCACTATCAGAGAAGACAAATATTCACACTTGAGAAAAAAAAAAAAATACAAAAAAAAATGACTTAAACTATTAAATCGATTATAATAATTACTGCCAATCGATTTTATTTCAATATTAATTTCAGCTCTACTCACACTTTGCCGGCATCTATCTGCAGAATATTCAGGGCAGCCTCTGCAGCCTGGTGTTTAGCAGCCTTTTTACTAGGACCCTGACCTGAACACACACACACACACACACACAAATTATGCAATACAATAGAAATAGTATTTTACAGTCAGATATAAAATAGCACCAAAACCTCAAGTCACTAAAGAATAAATATGGTGTGCTCTGGAAAGTAAAGGTTCACCCTCGATGCTACTGGAGAGGACATATATAAAACAACACAGAGACAAATCCGTCCCCTTTCAAGAGCAGACTGTTGTTTGAAGATGGCACATGTAAACACTGGGTTATTTGTTGTCAGCTTCACAGCTTTGCAAATGCGTCTCATCCACTTCTCTGGACCTGCACTGTTCTATGCCTGAAGTGAGACACCTTAGTTAAACAAACACGGCATATAGAGGATATATTCAAGCGTGTACTGCAGCAACAGACCGACAATGATACAAATAATATGTCGGAAGCTGGAGCGCTCTTTCTAATTTATCGACGTGTGATTTTCAAATTAAATCGAAAGGCTTGATGGAGTGACAGGCAGCTGTCAGCACAGCAGGAGGCGGGACAGGAACTCACCTGTGCAGCCAACTTCTCCGATTGTCACGCTGAAGACAAAGTGGGGTTGGTGAGCCTCTCCTTCAGCCTTCTCCATCACGTACACGGGAAGGTTGCCATTTTTGGTGCCGTATTCATGCAGGATTTGTATCGGTGTCTTCCTGGGGTTGGTCCTCTGCGTCTCGTGTGTGTTCAAGCTGTATTTGAACACCGCAAACCGTTAAAAAAGTCAAAATGAACTGGGCGGTTGCTATTGGATGGCTATTACGAGGGCTCAAGGCTGTCCTGCTGTGAAACTGACAAGTACTCAAGGTCTCAGTCCTCTGTGTTGTGGTGTTTTGTACGTCTGCAATCATGCAACATGTTCCACAATCTGTAGTGCATCCAACGATGGGATGACACGGCAAGTCTATAAGCATTAACAAACAAAACATTGAAGAAGAAGTTTACATGCACACAGGCAGCAAGCACTGCGTCTCTATCGTTGCATCTAAAGCAGAATCATGTTGACACAGGCTATTATTATGATCAGAATCATTATGGGGCTATTTAATTAAAAAATGATCCATTCTCTTCTACTTAAATACTGCTGCAATTAAGCTTTTTAATTAACATATTTTATACCAAATCTACACCTTTGGATCTGTGACGGCACACCTTCCTATTCTGTAAACTACCATTAACCACCATTCATTTTCAAATGATTTGGCCTCAGCCCTCTTGCACTTTATTCATTAGTTGAGGTCTGCTTATAGTTGCAACAATTAGTGTCTACTATCTAAAAGGACCCGACTTATACTCTGTTTTTTAATAAATAATTTTCAATGAATTATCAACAAACGTGTATGTTTGGGGATATAATAAATCAAATTCTGAAATAAAACAATTAAATATTAGAAAAGGAAAGTAAAGACATACACATATATCTATCACATAGACACAGTTTTAGGACAACACAAACACATTAAATACACTGACGTGTGTTTTTTGGGTGAGATGATGATTTGCTAGAAACAATGAGGTAGTTTTCAAAACATCTGCAGCGTGCTGACAGTGAAGATACCATTGTATTCTTTAACATGCTCAGATATACGTCCAGCTAAGCTAACGGTAGCTCCACGTTGACGCAGTCCGCTCCTGTCACTCATACATTCTTATCTCAGCCTGTTAAATACTGTCCACATGTTATTGTATATTCGTAGCACACGTTTAGAGTAATAATAAATCAACAAACCTCGTGTCCGCGGAGGCTGATTGATATCCTTCTTGAGACATGTTTACAGTTTTGTGTCGTTTTGTTTGCGGGCTGATTGAAACTATACTGCGGGTAAATCTCTACTATTCTGGACATCTAGTTTTGTTATTATGAAGGGTATGAAATGGCCTGAAAATGCCAACAATTCTTCATTGTAACCTGGCCGGGGGAAAATACGGAATGTACCTTCATATCAACATCCGGGTCACAAACGGGTCATCTGCATGTAAAGAGTTTA